GGATCGGCCGACAACTGCCCCACGACCGCTATCATGAAGGCTGCCCAAAGGTAGCGCTACTGACGCCTACTCGATGGCTTAGTTGCAGTCGGCACCAGCATCACATCGCGCGGCAAACCGTCGTGACCCTAATATGAACCCGGAACTTGACACCCCAACCACAATGCGCGATCGCCAGCATCGCCTTGCGCCTGGCGAGCAGCGAGGTATGTTTCACGACCAGCATTGACATTCTCGAGGCTCAGCTTCAAGTTGCACGTTGCCATCACGTGGGATGTGTTCATACACATGTCGAGGAACTTGTTGGGCCTGATTCAGTCTCAACCCACCTCGCAATGTACTCGAATCCATGTTCTGGCTCTGTTGATGCCATCACCCGTAATCACTGTGTCCATAGATACTTCTCATTGCAATATTGGTTTTCAGCAGTCGTCTGGATGTGACAAGCTGCTAGTGGCTTGTGCAACTTGAAATGGCATACGTTTTGGCTGCCTGGAGTTTGCATACCAAGTCACTCAACGAGGTCAATCCTGGTGGGTGCGAGAATGTGGCATTGGAGATTGAGCTGAGCGTACATGTTTGGTTAGATCGTCATGTCGCTGCACTGTACAAGTTCCCTACTGAAAGTGCCCCTGCAACTACACTGCCGCATGCATGTGCCGCTGCTGAAGGATGAGGAAGACACAGCCATCAACAAGCGTTACGGTGCGTCCGACCTTGCTTCAGAACTATCCACTCGATCCACTCTAGGCACGAGTCAAATCCCTAATCGCTTGCGAAGACAAAGACAATCCGACTCATACGATTCGGCGTATGTGCTCCTGCGGGGTCGATGGTAGACTCTATGCAAGGAGGCTGGTGAAAGCGATCATCGGTGGGGGGACACGAGCGGTAGCGCAAAATTCTCCGTAGTGGCTAGATCCATGGCAAGATTCATGCGGGTGTGGATTGGAAATCGATGATAGTTTGGTTCGTGTCGCTCAAGCTGCTCAATGTATCGCGCGCCTTGCTGCATTAGAATCGTTTCATACCAAACGAGCACTGCAATAGGCCGGGGGGTACTCCAAGCCGGCAACACTGAGATCGGCTGCCCACGCTGATGCAAGAAAACCACGAGGGGAAGAGGCAACTGGCTCAAGAGCTGAGTGGGAATGATTACCAGATTCCTGTTTCGAATGGAGTGTTGTCAGCTGCGCAGTTTTGAGGAATGAAGTGTCGTCGGCATCTTTGCACTGGTGTTGGCCGGGCCGAGCCTCTACCGTACGCATCGGCAGTGTGATTGGACTTGATGAGCGGGTGCTGTACCCACGGAGCTACGATTCGACAAACGCATCCATTCGGGCCGTGAAATTTGGCGAGGGTTGATGAAACGTCAGGCGCGGTTGCCAAGAAGTAGGACTGTACTACAATCTGGCGATAAGGCTTCTGTGGTCTAGTACGTCCGCCCTTCCCCGTGGGGTGCTTCACCTCGAACCTCACCCGCATTGGCTGCTCCTTGATCTGTGTAGTTGGACTCGAAGGAGACGAGATACTTCGAGGACTACAGATCGCGGGATGTTTCACTAATCGTTCTTCGCCGTCGAGTTCCTATTCGCAATAGAGTCACCATGGACGTCGATGCTGAGAGTGGGATGACAACCCCCGCGAAACAAAGTTTCATTCTGTACTACAAATGCGTGCGGGGTTCCACTACCCAAATGCAGTCGCCTACAGTCATCGGTTACATCGTGGAACCAGCAGCCATGTTCCCACTATTATTTCGACGTCTTTACAAACGACGAGGCAGTTCTTGGATCTGTCGGCCGATGGGCGACAGGAATACTAGCTGCCAAATCGAGTGACACGAGTTCTCGCCCATGAACCTTGGTCGGGAAATGGGCTGTGCGACAGAGTAGCCAGTAGGAGAGCTTCTTATCGCATTTGGGCCCTTCATAGACCAAGCATCATTCCATGCCTACCGTCCATAGGCGGTTAGCATGAGTTGAATGCGTGGGGGAATGGGTAACACGCAGAATGCGGCTGGCAGTTGAGAGCAGCTCTGGGCGTCCTTTTGTTATGGCTTGACAGATGAAACGTGCCACTGCTTGTGTATTTAGTGGGGACTGTCGTGACTACAATGGCGTGGGGCATCGGAAAATAGCCCATGGAGCTTTTGATAGGCTGACATGACGGTCACACACTTATATGGCATCAGCAACGGGCAGTCGAAGTGGAGGCGACGGATAGCGTTGGAAAGATCCGCCAGAAAGTACCTTTGCGTTTACCGCATAATTTCGTGTGACTACAACGGTGCAACCGATCATACTGGATGTAGCGATTGAGCGATGATGATCCCTGAGTTTTTCGCTATTCATCTCAAAGCATCGTGCGACCCTCTGTCGCGGCTCTCGGGCAGGTATCTCTTCTGCATGTTTGTGTTTGACAATGGACACTGCAAGATACTAATTCGGCCCTCTGTGACAGGGTAACGGTTTAGCTTGAATCGCAGTCGAATACACGGATATATAAATCAACCAGACCTTGGAACTTGTGCGTACATGTCCCGTTTCTCTTGCATTACATTCCATCTACATACCCTGCACCATTTCTTCTCCTGAGCTGAAGCAAACCTACGATTCTCCATATCACCACCATGGCGCTAACCAAATCGCCTGAGCCAAGGGTGCTTAGGAAGCGTCAAGCCCGCAAGCTCAAACACTTGAGCCCGAAACCCCCCGGCCGCCCCGCTTCCAAGTCAGTTACTCGGCGAGATACTACAATCGGGTATACTGTGGATGTTCCAGGCGTCGGAGTGCTGGGTGGATTCACGGCACCACCATTCAGGGCCATGCGGATCGACGATATGCTGAGTTCGACTGGAGGCAGTACATACCGTACAAGAGCTGAACGAGAAGAAGATGCTGCTCTAGGCAACTACATGAGTCACATGCCCCCTCTCGTCCGCGGTACTGTGCCTCTCGTCCACGCTTCTCTGCCTCTCGTCCACCACACTCGGCCTCTCATCAACGGCGGTCCTTCTGTGTCTAGCGTTCACAGATCAGCTCCGACTTCACTGGAAAACACTTCTCCTCGAATGACAGACACTCCGCAACCGCTATGGGGTGGAGCAGCCTCTACCAACAGATCAACCCACGCTACCCAGCCTACGGAATCAGTGCCCAGCCTTCCCCAAGACACGCAGTACCCCGCCGGCAGCAGCCTATATCGTGACAACACTCTGTACATTAGCAAGGAACTGCACGAAGATATGCAGTATGCTTTCCGGAGAATTGCGCACCCCCCTGGCTCTAGCGAAACCATGCTTGGCGCACTCACTTACGCTATGGCCAATGCAATGGATGGACTATATGGAACACCTCAGTGGTTGCGCAACGGACGACAGCCATCGATGGCTTCCATGAACGACGCCGTCAATATGATGGCTTGGCACCACCCAGCTTCCTATGACCCGAACAGCACGACGTCATCCAGCACTTGATGGATCGCAGTGCAGAGCAAGCTAGCCGGGAGTAAGCACGGGGTGGGGAGGGAGAGAAGCGTCTTGAGCATGGATGGAATTCAACCTGGGGTGTCTTCAGAGGGCGTGTCGTACCGCCTGACGCTATGAAGCATCGCCTGTCCTGGGAATAAAGAGATGTTGCGAACTTTGGTAAGGGGTTTTGGACCACGAGACGGAAACTTTAATATCTACATTGGTATTCACTTCAAGGCTGTTCTGGGAATAATGAGGTATTGTGAACTTGGTCAAGGAGTTTTGGATTACGAGGCGGATGCTTTGATTTCTACATTGGTATTCAGTTCAAGCTTGTCCTGGGAATAATGAGGTATTGTGAACTTGGTTAAGGAGTTTTGGATTACGAGGCGGATGCTTTGATTTCTACATTGGTATCCACTTCCAGCCTTTCTGTGCATTGGCTGCCGGCAAGGTATAGGGTTACCACAAGAACTCTCGTATGAATACATTCAGTTCATCACAATGATTGCCTTTTTGATATGCACGATGTGATCCATGGCGAGTCGGTGACTGTGACTCAAAATGTCGCAGCATCACTTCTATCGCGAAATGACGTACCCAGTTTGTTCAATCTTGTTCTGCAGGAGCTCCTACTCAGGTATGTAGACGATGATATTGTCAGTCGTTCATGCCGTCCCGCATTAATGTGTAATGTTGTGAGCACGCCTTCCACATCCGCCCGCACGCAACCTGTAGATACAACTCTTGTTAGAGTGAGAGCAGGTCTTTTACCATGGGAACTCCGCCATAATACCGCACCTCCTTGCCATGATGTCGATTCATAGCCAACTTAAGCATCTTTAACCTGGACGCGATTCCTTTCACTGCAAGAGAGTCTGGTAGCTATGCGTTTTGCAATGACACATGTTAACTAGTGTAGAGATGAGAAGATGACGAGTCGCACAACGACAATATTAATGCGCACTTGAGATTGACCTCGACCACAGTATACAATGAACTATGCTGTTATTTTGCCGATCGAGTCTACAGTGTCGTATTCTTGGACCACTGCGAAGAGGAGAGCTGCTAGCACCGATATTTCGCGAGACTACTACAATCTGTCATACAAGGAAAAGCACACATGGCTGGAATACAAAGAACCACCAAATAATGTCTTGTAAATGATACTACTAATCAATGCTCTACAACGCCGGATTCAAGAACTGGTCTTTACAGACTAGTCCATGGTGCTGAAACTACCAAGAGGTCATATATCTTGCCATCAATCGTCTCCGCAATCGTAAACACGGTGCTACCCAACTCATTACTACAATAAGCCCAACTCAACCATTCGGTCCACCAAAACCTCTTTAGCAGCTTTTGCCTCTGCTGCTTCGCGAGACAGCTGCTCGTTTCGAGTAACGAGATAAGCTTTGTTGCTCTGGAGGCTCGTTTTTGTGCGCTGGAGATCAATGATTTCTGCAGAGAATCCATCTGCGGAATCTTGGTTTGCATCCTTCAAGTCTTGGATAGTAGTTGCAGACTTAGTAGCGCTATCTTCCAGACGACGAATTTCTGCAAGTGCTTCTTTGAGGCGGAGAGTTTCGCTAGGACCAGATAGGACAGGCTGGCTGAGGCCAGAAGGAATGCCCTCCTCAACATGGTCGCCAGGAGAACCGCTCTCACTGGCGTTGTCGCTACCTCGCCCTCGTTCAGAGCCCTGGAGGCTATAGCCTCTAGCATCGTCTTGCAAGCTCTCAACTGCGAGCTGGTCAGTGATTGATGCCTGTCTTAATGCTAGGTGATTTGTATCAGCCTGAACCTTGACTAGGTCTCTGAAATGCTCTAGTTCGGACTGCAATTTTTTCTCGCGCAAGCTGGCTTCTGCAATTTCTTGAGCTTGCTGTTGCAGTGCTTGTTGAAGAGTATCCTCAAACTTCGCTGCTAGATCTTTAGCTTGCGATTGCAGTGCTTGTTGAATAACTGCCTGAATCGGCGTATCCATTTCTGTCAGAAATGCGCGGGCCTTCTCCATAGAGATATAGCGTACGTTGTGAGCGTCCTCAGTAGGGATGACTTCCATCTCAGTAGTAGTTGAGGTATTGTCCATATGAGCGGTAATTGGGGTGATGCTTAGAAGCTTAGAAGTTGAACTGTAAGAAGCAGAACGAGAGGGATTAGCCGAAAGGGTAGCAAATGTGACTGGAGTTGTGCTGTTCTGATAATTAGGATAGGACAACAGCAAGGCAGGATTATATAGCTGCCGGAGCTCACTAGCGCCAAGAGTCACAGATCTTCACAGTGAATAGTGTGTTAGCACAGTAGACGTAGTTCTAAAACAATAATCACTCTATGAGCACAATAGAGGCCCTCCAAGCTCTTAAAAGAGTATTCTCTGCAGTGTTGCAGCCAACATAGCCTATCGTCATTACGAACGTCCGATGAGCAGTTTAGTCGTTCCTCCACGAGTTGAAAAGAGATCAACTTGCACTAGCTACCGCATTGTATATACTCAGCTCTATATGTGTCTCAATCCGCCGCGCTTGTTAGTCTAGACAATTTTCTTAACATCCAATTGTTATCGAATAGTAACCTTCTCACATACTAGTCAGTTTAAGTGCCAAATTGATCCTGTTTCTCGTTTACATCCCAGTTCACGCATATACTCGTCTATCCCTTATACCTATTATTCTATTACCTGCCAACATACAGGCAGTATTGATTGAATTCATGCTATATTTAAGACTCTCTTGCGATCATTACCTGCTAGTAGGTGTGGCATACGATATCGTTAGGAAGCTCCTGGCTATAAGCAGTAGATCTCGAGGACATAGAGATATAGTCATCAGGCGAAACCGTCACGCAATGAATACTACCCGAGCTCCCAAGGTCGCTAAGCACGCTGTGAAGCTTCAAGAACAAAGCCCAAGTCGCAACGATGTAGCTACTAATAATAGACTTTGCTAACACAGTGCTTCAAGTTCGAGTAAGTAAGTATTCTCTTCCTACTTGAGATTACTCACGCTAAAACACTGTTTGTTGGTTTGTTCCAGCATGCATTTCTTGTTAGTCAATTTGCTACTTGCCATTCATCTGTACATACCGATAGGTTACTTCTTTCAAGCAACATAGACATGTTTTTAGATCTGCGCTTAGTTGATCTCACATCTATTCGTCTGGTCCAACTTAACACGCCTTTTGACTTAGCAAGCATCCTCGATGGACAAAAGTCGACCTAATAACGCGCCTAGGTGTGATTGTGCTTGAATGCGGTAGTATCGCAGAGATGGTACATGGGGAGAATGGTGACTTTACTCCATTCTAGTCATGTGATACCGTTACATTTGCTGATTTTTTCGTGAGATGCCGAGCTACTCTATCTAGACCGGGTAGCTCGTAGAGATTGAATGATGAGCTCGATGCGAACACTGCGATCCCAACATGGCTTGTACCTGAGTGCTGCTAATGCAGCGTCTCTGTAGTATGGCCGGACAACTAATCTAAGCTGCCTGGTAAGAGATGTGCTGTCCGTCGTTACTGAGACTCTTTTTTTCGTCGGGCAGTATAAAAACCTTTATAACCATGGAATTAGTGTTTTTGCTATACATGTGGCGTAGAAAAATCGCACTGTCATGTTATACATCGCCACGAGTAGTTCAATGTGATGTTGACATGAATAGCTGTTCGCTTGCTCAAACATGTGGCAGTCTGCAGTGTATGTGCGGCAGCCTGGATCTACGATAGTTCCATTAATGTAGAAAAGCTACTTGCTTGCAGTCTGAATTCTTGGCAAGTCCGTCTTCATATTGTGAAATCATGATTATATGTAGAGCAACTGCGCGCCCCTGATGCCGTGTATGATGCTGTGTAGGAAGAATAGTCTATTGCCGTTAGAAGATCTGAGTTGCAGATTGGGAGTGTAGTGTAGACATTGGTCATAGAGCAGGCTGACACGAGTTTTTACAACAAAACATTGGTTCTTATCTACACACGTCGTACTCCAGCGGAGAGTACCTTATATCTTTAGAAGAGTCGAATCCCTTGCAATCACCCCATTCAGGCTCGAAACCGGGGCCATGAAGACATATTCATCGCCTTCCTTTCCCGAAATACTTCACACGTTTCCATCCATCATGTACCAAAGGCGTGTTGCCGCACGCCATTGGCACAACAAACACCTGGAAGCTGGGTCGGCATGGAATTATTTATGGAGATAGGTACAGCACGCAAAGGCTGTGGTGACGTACAGGGATATCGTGTGTGGATCAATCTCGTGGCCAAAGTCGAGTGCGGTTCCGATAGCGGCGTTTGGCGCATGGACTGTCTGGAAGTGTTGATGAGGAGTGCTTTCGCTTCTTTGAGACGGTTGTCGATACTGGCTCTAGGCCCAGCAGCGTATTCAGCTCATCTGACGCCTCGTCGTCCGCAAGTGAGGGCGCGTCTGGTGATTCCATAGCAGCGTGCGGCTTAGCTGTCGGACTCTGCTCGGGCGATGACAGAGGTGTTGTGGAGAGATGCGACATGCCGACGCGGAAAGTGGGCGACAGCGAAGATCTGGCATCGCGATTTGAGCCAGAACCCAGGCGAAGACTGGAAAACATGGATGGGTTGGGTACTGGATGTTCTAGTCGAATGCGTGGTAGCCGCCATGAAGGCGCCAAAGTTTTTGCTACCCAAGGAGGCATCATTTCTGATCCGTTTGTCTTCTTGCATAGAGAGTAAGTTGGGGTCGGCCATGGCAGTGCCGACACTGCTCTTGTCCAAAATGACATATTCCTCAGCAGCCCGCATGGAGAACAGGGTAATCGCTGCCCGGTAGACTTCGAGATCGATATCCTCTGGGTTGGTCGCAGGGTTCTGCTTGGCGGGTGGCGTGGTTCGCATTTCGAGTGATTTGGCAGCTGCCATGACGATGTTGAGTTCGCTAGATGTGATGAGGATTATGGACAGCCTGTGTAGTAGAAATGTGCGGAAGTCAAAGGCTGAAGTGACGAAGAGGTGCTGAACTTCCCAGGATATATATCACACAGCGAATCCTTACGAGAAAGGCACGGATTGCATCGAGAGGAAAGGGGCATTGGGAAGGAGGATGGATATGTCTCTCTACGTGTCGTTACTTTAGTCGTAGTGGTTATCGACGCCGGGCCATCGTCTAGTCGCCAAACCAGCAGCAGGTCCCCTACTGGCATTCCCAACAGCATCAGATGCTTTTTTGCCGCAGCAAGAGACGCCATTACGGCCTGGATGACCTGAATCAGTCACAACTACCCTATTTCTGTTCATATCAGTCTCAATCCGCTACTTGCATCATGAAAGACGTCAGTCAAAGCGAAGTGAAAGCGAGATTTGCAATGGTCACTGCTGAGACACCAATTTCAGGTGAATCAGGAGTTTTGGCGGGTACCCGAAATCTGCCCGCTTAAGCGGACTCCAACACTCGTCTTTACTTTGTTCATCGTCTTCCTCCTCGCCCTCTGGTGGTATCCAAAACAACAGTCGTCGAGGTCGTCGAGATCGTCACCGCAAACATGACCACCGACGATACCACCACCGAGTGACAAGTAGACAAGCGCGAAGTCTTCTTACCAGGGCTCGTTCTAGGCGAGCTAGAGCGAACGAGTTGGCTATGGCACCACCACTTCCACGGACTCCTCTGGGTATCATGAGGTCCGGTGCACGACTACCTCCTCGCCGACCACGTGACGCCCCGTTCACCATGGATCCCGCGGATCCTCTGTGGGAGGACAAAGAGAATCACATGCCCGACTACATGGCCAATTCTCCCATACGACCTGCAACGCCTGTAACGCCTGCAACGCCTGTAACGCCTGTAACGCCTGTAACGCCTGCAACGCCTGCAACGCCTGCAACACCCGCAACGCCCGCAACGCCCGCAACGCCCGCAACGCCCGCAACACCTGTAACGCTCGCAACACCTGTAACGCTCGCAACACCTGTACCAACTCGTCTGTCCACCTCTTCTACAACGCCGCCCGCTTCGACTCCACTTGCGCCGCCGCAACCAGGCTTGGGATTGACATCCTCAAGGCAAACAACCGCGGCCACGTCGTCTGTCCTACCAATTCGCACAGCGACGCACCACCATGCCGCAGCAACAACATTCACGACGCCGATACCATCCAACACACAGAGTCCACGCATCGGCCCCCTCCGTCCTGCTCCCACGTTGCCTTCACGGAGCACATGGGCGTCCCTCCCGCGTACACCGCGTACACCGCGTACCAACGCTCCCAGTCGCGTCTTCCACTACCGTTGAGGGGCGGGTGAAGGCGTGTTTTGTCCGGCCCGTGGTTCGCCTCGCCCCGGTCTTGTTGAGACAACAGCACGTGAACAAGGAGTGTATGACTGACGCCAAGGACGGCAGGTAGCTCGGCGGAGCTCAGGAGGAGGGCGATCAACACGGAGGTGATGATGGGGTTTGTAGGGCAAAGAGTCAAAGGACGGATTGAGGCTGTATTGTTAGCGGGTACGCGTTCAAAGGCAAGGTTCGTTTGATCATGGTGCCCTCATGTGACCTTGCACTCGGCGTGGATGCAGAAACCATAGTGCCTGATGCCTTGTCGTGTGTATGGCGTCGACCTTGCCGTCGTCGCGGAGACACCAGCGCCACGTAGAGGCAATGCGCATATCAGCCCCGCGAAGTGCGGCGCGACAGGTGCACCGCGGGCTCAGCCTAGTGCCTAGTGCGGCTCTGCGCCACGTGCATGACAGGCGGGGGATTCCTTGGCGTCTACCCCGCGTTTCGCCGCCCGGGCAAGCGATTTCTTGCCAGACGCGACTTTTCGTGAGCCAACGCGTTCTGGGTCATGTTCAATGTGAGTCTGCCCGGCTGATACGCAGCAATCGCATGCTAATCCTTTTACAGAGTTGCCATACCGTGTTTCGAGCCCACGGGCCACCCTCACAACGTGCAGCTTCCAGATGCACCACGAAGCCGGGCGCTTCGTCATCGAACGCGACACAAGAATGGCAATGTCAGCTCGACGTTAGGCTGGCTGGAACGATCCGAATCCCGCGCAACTGAGGACAGAGCATGGCAGCTCGACGCCGTGCCACGGATACCTGGGACCTGCGCTACCCATGCCCACCGAGGAGGATCGCCAGCGATTGCCCGACATTCACAAAGTCAAGCGCATGGTAGAAGCTTTTGTAGGGTAGAGTCTGAGTTCGCGTCGCAAATCTAATTACTTGTCGGCTACCAGCCATCCTGCTCAAGACAGCCAGCAGCTCCTGCCCATTTTCTCCCGAATCTGTCCGGCATAGCCCATCCACTCAAATCACCGCCCCCCGATCGTCGCCTCCACGTTTACCATTCCTTCTTCCCTCGCCTTGACTGCTGGCTTGATGTATGTCAGGATCCTTGCTGTCGTAGTTGAACTCGGAGGAAAAGTAGCGGTCGAGGACCACAGAAGTCGAGCGAAGTGTTGCCCGTCGTCTGGGCCGATCGTGTAGCGGTTGTGAAGCGCTACATGCCGATGAAGGCGCGTCGCAACATGATGGTGAGAGTATCGCACAGGAATCGCATCGTGTTCCAGAAGAGACGCGGGCTCGTGCTCCACGCCCAGAAGCCCAGGATGAACACGATCCAACCCAACGTGGATGAGGCAGTCGTGGCATAGGCCTTGAGCTGATCCAAGGCATCTACGAGGTACATGATGATTTGGTCCATGGTGATATGGTGCATGGTGATTTGGAAGGTTTGGTAGGCGGGAAGTCTGCTTTGAGTCAGTACGCCTTGTCTGCAAGCGCGATGCACAGTGTCAGGGTCTTACTTTGGGTTGTTCAAGAGTCTGGGAGTTTGGAAGTCTGAGAGTGGGAGATTTGATAGTTGATTGAATCTGAGATGTGCGTGCAGATCGCGGAGATATAGATCCCATCGATTTCGCCATGCGATGTTTGCGTGGTGTAGAATGTTTGCTATGGACGTCATTATCCTGCCTGCTCCCGGCATGTGCAGATTCCCACATGCGGGGGGTGTTCAGGATCTTGCAGTGGTCGGCATTGTTCTGTCATTGCAGTTTGCTGTAGTGGCATTGATCATTGCAGTTTGCCGTAGCGGCATTAATCATTGCAGTTTGCCGTAGCGGCATTGTATCATTGAAGTTTGCCGTAGTGGACTTGATCATTGAATTTTGCAGTAGCGGCCTTGCTCGACGTCAAGTCAGAAAGAAGCAGCGCAGGAACAAGCCGTACTCTTCAAGATATTTCTCGAGGTCGAGGAAACAGAAATTCAGAACCTCTCCCCCTGCACGTTCAATCCGGGCATGCAAGTGGGAATTGTAGTCAACCCCACTATCAATCTGTCCGATAATTGTCAGCACGGGCAGACTTGTAGATCCAGCACATCTCTAGCATTCCGTGCGATCCAATGCGTTGACGACTGGCCTCGTATGCAATCGACGTGCCCGAGGCCCTGTATCTAGACAGTGGCAGAGGGTCTAAGTGCCTATAACTTTGCCAAAGGCCACGTATACCTGCGTGCACAAGATGCAGATAAATTATGGAACGCCGGCTTTGTCGACATTAACGCCCCAGATACCATGGGAGCCACGCCTCTACTCCAGCACATTCACCTTGGAAAGTTTCCGATGTGGGCCTCGTTCCTCGATAAGGGCGTCTCGCTTACCTCGAGACACCGTACACCACACACGTTAGCTAACTCTATTGCCTAAGTGATCACTACCAGAACGGTGTGCCCACAGATCTACAGTTGATGATGCGTCCAAAGACTGAGCCTGTAGTGTAGAGGTCGCTCTTGAATTGTTTTTCGCCGGCGCGGTTTCTGTACCGTGCACGGACACCAGGCGCCCGGAGACACTGGGCGCCCACTCTAAAACTAAAACGTGTTATTAATACTAACTTTAATATATTATAACTCTACTACTATAAATCTAATTTAAGCTATAATTAAAGATATTAAATTATATAAGCTAAGAGAACGTTTTATATATATAGAAGTTACTATAAAATATAATATTAATTGCATAATATTAAGCTAAAGATATAGAAGCATATAGGCTATAGTAGGCATCTAGCTACTAAATAGATATAAACTTAGCTTACTATAGAAGTTAGAGCTTATACTATATATTAAAAAGCTTACTAGGTAAGGCCTACCTTCTATAAGAGAGATAATTAGAAATTTTATCTTATCTATAGCTAAGAAAGAAGTCTCTAAGTGCTAGGTTTTATACTTTATTAGCTAGAATAAAAATAAGCTTATTTTAAAGAGAACTAGCGCTATAGATTATATGCATTACTAAGCTAATTTCTATATTAAATATTAAGCTTACTTTAATCTTCTGCATAAGAAGCTTAATAAGTATTATCTTAAAGCTAGTAATATATATAATATAGATAAGAAGAGCTTCTTTATTAGAATTATTAGAATAAGTAAGAGAGTCTTTAGTAAATATTAATAAGATAAGAAGAAAGTTAGAGTATTATTTTAAGATAAATTATATAAATTTTTAATGCTTCTAGCTTATATCTGCACTAATAGAAGCTTACTGCTACTAAGCTTTATTTATACGTTAACTTAGAAAGTAATTAGATTAAACTAAGTAGAGAGAATTACTATAGAGAATTATAATATCTTTATTATATTATCTTAATTAAGTTAGAGTAATAATAATATTAGTTTAGTATAGCTTAAATAGATATTTAATTGCTATATAAAGAATAAACTAAAAAAGTAGCAATTACTTATTCTTAATAGCTATAAATCTTATCTTATCTTTAAGTTTCTTAAGTATTATAACTACTATAGAATTCTTCTAATAGTATTTTCTTTTTATTTAACCTATATGCTATAACTGCTAGATATAGTAATATTTAAGCTACTCTTATTAAGCTACTCTAATAAGCTTACTTAGTATCTCTATAACGCCTAGAGCCTTATCTCTATTAAGAAAGAAGACTTTTTCTCTCTTTTCTAGTAAGCTTAGAGCTTATTCTTTAAAGAAAATACTATTTTAAAAGCTTTTAAAGCTACTAGTATATAGCTAACTAATCTAAGAGTTATTCTTAATAAATTTAGAATAATACCTAATAAGAACCTTAGCAAGCTATTCTATCTCTCTCTAAGTAATTAGAATTAGCTATAGTAATTAGTATAAGATACTACTAAGAATAAAGCTTAGAATAGAGTAAGAAAGCTTAGTATTTTACTTTACTATCTCTAGATTTAAAATAAGCTGCTTTATTATAAGAATAAGTAACTAAGAATTACTTTTTTATATAAAAAGAAGTATAAAAGTAAGAGTAAAGCTCTTAACCTTTAATAGCGCTAGAAGTATTATAGTAGTGCTATCTTTTAGTTTTCTTATAAGTTCTATAAAGCTTAAGCTTAAGAAGTAGTTTATAAGTAAGAGAAGATAAAAAAGAAACTCTAGAAAGTATAAGCTAAGAAGTAGTATAAAGAGACTTAACTATAGTATTAAGTTAAGCTTAAGAAGAGATATATAGAGAGATAGAGACTTAAGGTAGTAAAGAAGAAGAAAAAGGCTAAAAAATAAGCTAAATATAAGCGTTAAAAATAGCAGTATAACGCTAAGAAAGCTATATAATTATTCTAAAGAAGTAAGTATAAAGCCTTATAAGCAGTCTTCTCTAAGAAGAAGTATTAGAAATAAGTAGTAGATAAGATAGCTACTACTTAAGTTTAACTTACTTTATTTTCTTTACTAACTTAAGTAATATTACGTAGCTATAACGTTAAGCTCTTAAGTAAATTTAGATAATATAAATTAATTATAAGTATCTAATTACTACTATACTATATTTTTATATATATAGAGCTATTATATAGCGTTATATAGCTTTAAGTTTAAGATTGCAATAATATTAATAGGTAGGCGCCTGGTGTCTCCGGGCGCCCGGTGTCTGTGCACGGTACTCTGTTCTGGCCCTCTTGTCTTGCTTGATGTAGGTTGACCTGGGCTCGTTGATCTCCGTCACGTGCCGTCGTGATTCTGCTCGTGGGGGCGTCAAGTGAGACAGTGTCTTCTCAAGCGTGTTGGATCGCTGGGGTTCGAGGGCGAGCGGCGATGGGCATATGCGACGCGCGGCCTGTTGGCGGATAGGGCGCGTTGGAGTGGATAGGAGGCTTTTTGCAGTGCAGCTTGCCAGGCGTCTCAAAGACGTCGTGATTGTGCCTAGTCTCCAGTCAGTGCTGAGCAAGTGGTAGCGCTGATGATCGGCTCGAGCCGTCCCAGCCCCGCAATGCACACGCCACAAGCACGGCCACACCCTTTGAAGACGAGGTACGCGTAAAAGCAGCCAACGCAACTTGACGCTCCCACAGCAGGAAATGCAGAAATGCATCTGCTGGGAGAGATGGCCCTGGCTCTTTGCGTGTGTCTTCCATTTGGCCTCCCCTCTTTGTCCGCATGCTGGCTCATACCCATTGTTGATCGGCGAGGATGTGGAAGGGGTCGCACAAGGTATTGGATTTGACTGGTTTCTTCGTTTGGATTCCTCGGTTCACCGTCATGACCGCTGTCCGTGCGCAGCGCCTGCCCAACCTCTGATATATTCTTGCCAGACGAAGTAACACGAAGCGACACTTGAGGGCTTCCTGCCACCAACAGAAACACCGCCCCCCCGCTCACCACACCTCCTCTCTCCTTCATTCACCTTCACGCCCCATCATGGCACCATTGCTCTTCTCATCTGCCTGCACCCATCTTGTGCTCTTCTCATCATCACTCTCCATCGCGCTCTGAGCACCATGAGCATGCCAGCCTCTTCTGGCACCATGCCTCTGCTCTTCTGCCTGACTATCAGCTGTCTCGGGCGATGAGCACCCTCTCCCCCGATTCTCAGCTGCATCCCCAAGCACCACTCACTTCGCGTGCTGCGCTGTTGTAAGTCCACCATCTCTCGTCAGCTACAAGCCTGAGGCTAACTTCCGCACACAGAGCTCGGCTGCATCACCAAGCACCAATCACCTTAGTCACTGCCACCAGAATCCTTTCTCGGCTTGCCATCCTCCCGGCATCATGAAGCACCCATAGCCAGCTTATATCAGCCAGACATCTTAGATGCCTACTCAAAGTGTCTCTCTTTCAGTGCAGGGTCTCTGGCCGACATACGCTACAAGAAACTCTCGCAGCTTTCGAGATACTGGTACGGAAAGGTTGGGTATGCCCAGAACAGCGTGTTAGCAGTGTCGTGGCGGGGATGCGCCCAAAGCCACAGCTTGCTCCACCTCTCGAGTCTCCACGACCTGAGCATCGTCTGGTAAGTGAACTTCTATGCTCTTTGCCCACAGCGGGCTCTGACTAACGTGCAATAGTAGGTCATCCATGCACATTCATTCCCATGAGCTACCCACGGGTTTCCGCAGTCATTGCTCCAGCGGCTTCGCATCCCCTTCTCTCAGCTACACCGCAACATCAAAAGACATGACCTCGCTGCCCTTGAACTACGCCATCGACTACCACACCTTAAGTTCTGCACCCGCCGCCGCCTGCCTGCACCCCAGGCATCCTCATACCGCCACTCACCCGCATACTTCTCTTCCTCCAGGGAGCATCACCATCTTCGGCTCCATTGTCTTCCATGGCTTCCAAACGCCAACGTCTTCGTCCTCCAACGCATTCACCGCCAGCTCTTGCTTCTTTCGACACGTTTCATCCTACAAAGGTCCCCATCTTCCAGCACCTTCAGCTTTTAGGACCTTCGACTTCCACCTCTGATTCTCCCATTTTTCAACGTCTGCTCTGGTATCACAACTACTTCCGCTGCACTGCGTCTGCTTATACCCTCCTCGACCATCTCCATCGAATCTACCTTTTACGACACGCTTGCATCCCTTACGTCGCCTTCCTCGCATCCAGCGTCACCCTTACCAGGGCTACTCGACTTCACGTTTGCAGATACATCAAGGATGTCATCTTGCACTTGTTCATCGACACTTTTCCACGTACAGACTCACAGTCTCCCGCTTCCTCATCGCCGGTGATCGTCACACCTCGTACTTGCTCCGCTACTGGGTATGCCGTCTAGCAAACGGCGTTGCTTTGGCACACTCTGCCGCTCACACACTTTTGAAAGAGATGGAACACTCACTGGGAACAATGTCACCAAAAAGAAGTGACTGGGTCTTTCGTTAGTTGGCGTGATTGATGGTAATTACCGAAAAGAAGTGACGGGATAGTAGGTAGTTGTCACCAGAAAGAAGTGACGGGATAGTAGATAGTTGTCACTGAAAAGAAGTGACGGGTTTGAGGTTAGTTGTCACCAGAAAGAAGTGACTGTGTCTGTTGTCAGCTAGGTGTCACCGAAAAGAAGTGACGGGACAGTAGATAGTTGTCACCGAAAAGAAGTGACGGGTTTCTTGTTAGCTGTCACTAAAAAAGGCGACTAGATCTGCTGTTGTATGGCTGGCTTGATTGATAATGGTCACCGAAAAGAAGTGACGGGATAGTAGATAGTTGCTGTCGGCAAGCTGGATGGATGATGGGTACACCTTTTCATCTACATACCGTCGCATCAACACATCTTTGCATCGACACTTCGCATTGACATTTGGCATCGACACTTTGCATCGACACTTCGCATCGACATTTGGCATCAACACATCTTCGTAACAACACATCACGGCAATGACACACCTTCGCAACCGCACGTCTTCTCATCCAGACACTTTCTCTTCGGTAATCCTTCTCTTTGACAATCCTTCGCAACCACACACTTTCCTAGCGACATAGATCTTGCACGCTAGCAACTACGTTTCGTTCCTACCTGGTCCTTACGCCCCACTCCGCCCTGTCATTTGCTGTCTCACCCTTGCGCGCCGGCAGTCTTCCTAAATCCAGTTGTCGCGGATGCACATTCAACTTCGGTCCGTCGCCTTCGCACCTGCGCATCCTGGTCTCCGTCCTCGGACACTGGTTCCTTGCCTCAGGTTCAATGTTTATGTTGAGTTATCCTCTCTTCGATCCCATCACTTCATCGCCTCGACTTCTCCAGCATGCTGGCTCTCCTGATTGACTTTCTCCATTCGTCCGTCATCATTGTTGCATCTCCACACAACAATGACGATGTCAGCCACGAATCCGTCGGCGCACAGGAGCATCACTCACCCGGTGTCTTCTGTCCTCCATCAGCTCCTGTTCCCTCAGCGTATGTCTAGAAACTCCCTACAGTTCGCAATGCTCTCGAACCGGAGAGCATTCGCCCTCAGCTCGCAGGTTGTTCCCAGCTTGAACCTCTCGGACTCGAATCGTCTCGGTTTGGATCCTGGACGCCAGCTGACCTGGCCTGATCCGGGGTTTACTCCACTTTGACCTTCATCACATCGCCTGTTGCTCACAGCCTGCATCATCCTCCGCCCCGTTTGTTCTGGTCTTTCTTGGCGTCGAAACACTCGCCACTCAAGTCTGGCGGCTACCTTGATGTAGTCTCCAGCTCCGCTACCGACCGTCATCACGCCATTGCCATGGTATCTATGCGTGTGGTATCAACTCAACTACTGGTACCGTTTTCTGGAATCTTCGTCGCACTTTGCGTCGTTCCCAGGAAATGGTCCGTCACCGAGTTCTGCTGCTTTGTTGTCTTCTCCTCGAACATCGTGCCTACCACCCGCTGCTTGTCGCCATTTCCATTGGATACTCCTCAATTACAAAAGCTGAAGAAGCACTATCATCGACGTTGCTCTCCAACCTCTTTCTCCGCTGACAATATCTTCGCAGCCTTGTTGCTGTTAACATTAATTGCTCTCAACTACAGAAACTGGAACATCTTCACTTTTTCGCCTCTGGCACACCATCTCCTCCGGCGTCATCTCCCGCGACACCCTTTTCATCAACATGATCATCTTCTACTCTCGCCCTCCACCTACGATCTTTGCATCAACCTGGCCGGATCATCGGTCCGTCAAGCGCCCTCTGCTCGTGAATCAGATTCGCAAGACAACGCCTCTTTCCGCCATCTGCACTTCGACCAGTGACTCTTCGAGCACCAGCACACCAGCCCCGGAGCATACTCCACCGGCTTCCCTCGCTCGTCAATCACGACAGTCTTCCTTAGCTGCTAGCTTACATCGCACCTTCTTGGCGGTTTCTCTTCACCGACAATCCTTCTGCGTTGCCTTCTCCGTCTTCCGTCTCGCTTCTTTGCTCTATCACGATCGGTCTCCAGCTTATTCCCTTCTCCGCTAGCCGCCAAGGTGTTCACTGGCCTCCTCCACCCGTTGACGCCAAGTCGCGCGTGGTCATATTCTTTCGAGAATGATCCAACGCTGCGACCCACCACACCGCGCGCTGCTTCACTACTGACCCACGCCTCCACACCATCGATAATACAATATCTATCTCGACGTAATGACCAACTCAGACACGTTCTCACCAGGATCATCTAGAGATCGTCCCACGAGGCCAAGCCCGGCATCGGCTGGCGTCAACGTTGACGTGGTGCGGATGTTGCAGCACATATCAACGCTGTCAATGGGTATATCAGCCAGGCATCTCAAAGTCAGCACGGTAGCCCAACTTGAGGCTCAGAATCTGGCTCCACGCTTACGCCGAGTAGTCTGCTCTCCAGCAGAGCACACCAGCTTCCGTGTCCGTGAGCACACCCTACTCCCCAAGCCGAAAATGGAGGCGACATCGAGCGACAAACCAGCAATAGCACCGCCTCGAAGCACTAACGTCTGTATGAAGTCTCAACTTTGCGCTTCAAATATGCAGTAGCCTGACCTTTTGCGGCGGCCTGCGACGGATCCAGCACCTGCCGTTTCTCAGCTAATGCGCACAACCTGCTCCCGAATCAGCCGACCCTCGGACACGGTAGAACTACCTCATAAGTTGCCTTTTGATATGAACATTATCGCCCGCTTCGGGAGTTTTCAGTCGTCACTGCACGACTGCATACCTCCCTCGCCTTCTCTGGACTGCCTTCTTGGAGTCTGTCAATCTCGGGCGTAGTAAGGGATTGACAAAAAGTCCGAGTCGACCATACTCTCCCGGTTCCACCTACACAAGCGGAGCTCGTTGACAAGGACACCCCGCCAGCCACCCCGGAAGGCGGACACGTGCAAGGCCGGAGACAATACCTTCCCGGACCCAGGCAGTTCGCTGGTCCACCGTCCTACCAGCTGTTCTACCCATACCCCTGCGCGCGGGTTTGACAGAAAACGACATTGGCCAGCCCTCTTGTTCACTCAGCACGCTCTCAAGGTGCTTAGTCGCCATGAACAGCTCCACGTAAACGGGCTTGCCAAAGCAGTGAACGGACTTGCTGAAGGTCAACCTGACCGCGACTATCTGCCCGCTGATGACTGAGTCCAGGATGAACACCAAAATCGCGATGAACCGCGCCATCGTGAACGTAACTGCGACCGGCCAATCTTCATCGCCGCTAGGTGCTACGACACGCTGAAAGACATGACGACGCGCATCCTCTGCATCGCGAGGACCGGCACGCACGACGTCTTCATCGTGAAGCCTATGCTCTTCGTCTTAGACTAAAGGACCGGTAAGGCCCTTTTCGCCGCGGCTTAGACGTCGGTCGCGACGTCTAAATTGAAGTTGTACTCGTGCAACTTAACCCCCCTCAAGAGGTGTCGACAAGTCCGATGGAGACGTTGGCCATCAAGTCCTCCGCGGTAACGACTCCGCCATTCATGACCGCACCAGGGTCTGGGACATCAGTATGCTCGTCGGCGGTAACGGAGATGTACGCCTACCTCTATCAGAACGAGCTCGACCTGGGCAAGCACGGAAGACGACAGCCAAGATCCCGGCGGTCACCACCTTCATGAAGAATAGGGGCGTGTGCTACACAAACAAGTCCGTCAATGCATGTAGGACGATATACATGACGACGGTGAAGGAAATTGCGAGGCTCAGCATGCTCTGCACGAAAACGGAGTACATCAAGAACGGCGAGCTCGGCAGAGAGGCGATCTCCTGATTGTGTGTACCATCATCACAGACGGACTGGCTCGGACGGAGGGGTTGGCGCTTTCGCTCTTCTCCGCGTTCGTGCCCGAGATAGAGGTCAGTATAGAGGCAGTCTATGTCGCCTTGATGATGGACGGCAAGTCTGAGTGGTCCACTTCGGCCATGTGCACGAACGTAACGCGGGTCAAGGATACTGCCAAGGCTGAGTCCATCGAGGAGGGCATCAACCTCGCGTCCACATCCGATACATTCTCGCGCTCATTGTTCCTGGGGAACATGTCCAATTTCACCTCCTTCGGAGAGAGTGCAGCTCAGACGCCCGTGTCTCCCTCGGTCCCGGACGGTACCACCTTGTAGGTAGTTATGCCCATTCGTGCCGAGGCCCTCATCACCGTCATCGTTTTGAGGAAGGCGATCATGGTTGTGTCCATCACCCTCTTGATGATCAAAATTCCGCACGAGATCAGCAACTCGATGTCTTTGGGCGAGCCGACGGACCGGGACAAGCCGTTGCCGAAGATTCTCAGGCTACTGTTTCTCCCATCCTTGTAGAGGGCTGAATCATGAGCTTAGTGGACAGGTCAGTCCTCATGGATACCGATAAGCCCATGCCGAAACACAACCCCTCGGCTACGGTTCGATAATGGCGATCAAGGCCGTTGCCGTGGACATGGAGATGAGCTTGGCGTTTATGGACTTCATGGCAAGCATGAATCCGACGTCGGAGGGATTGCACGTGATGCACTCCGCATTGCTCGAGCTGATAGAATGACTAGCTAGGTGCTCTTTCCTCGTCTCCGCCTCGCTGAAATCGAAGACCAATCCTGGCTCATCATGGCTTCGAGGACACACGCACAGAGATTTGGCGCGAATGTGGGCACGCAACTCAGAGACGCAACCGGATTAAGCCGCGTACCCAAGCGTGCCACAGATCAATAAACAATGTGAGCCTCGTGCAGGAAGCACATACGCTCGGGCACAGACAGCGTTGTTTGCAAATCACGCCGAGCGAGATCTCCAGACCAGGCTTCTTCGATTGCCGACACCTCTCCATGTCATCCTACCTTCTCATCCATCAGTGGTAGCCAACGACGCAGCATTCGTACATGGCAAAAGTCAAGCGAGCGCCTCATGACGCCGCTCCACGACGAAACACTGCAACACCCGACCCAACCTTTGCCACAGGCTCCCCGAGTACATCGACAGCGAAACACTAAACTCGGGATCAAAGTCTTTCTGTCCTTTGACTTCATTGGTATACCCTGGGCAAGAATACTGATATGTCGCCTGTCAGCGCCCGTCTCCCACCGCCAACATGGCGCTCGCTGAGTACTCGACTATCTCACCGACCCGACTTGAGCCAGCATCGAGGAGTATGCAAGCAATTTGTCCGACCTCACACACCACCAGAGCCTAGATCTCAATGCAAATCATGCCCAGTAACGTCGACAGGCAAATACTGAACTCTGGGGTGTGTTGCGTTCCTTGCTTCCGCACGCTCGCTTTGAGGCTTCACTGTTACACACTCAAAATAAAATGTGTCACCACAGACGGTACATGGATGCAGCAACCTCCACGGTACCCTCGGCAACGAAGGACCAACAGGTCCGTCCTGTGAATGATCGACTTGAGAGTGTACAGCGTAGGATGATGAAACGATCGTCTCCTGGCTGCCAATGGCCTCCGCAAGCAAAACGCCACTGTAACGTGGAGCCTCTCGCTGTCGGTCGAAGTCTGAACAGTGAACATGATCTAATCCTGCGGCACGACGCAGTCTCTAGTCTATGTGGACCTTTGCTGCCGATTTTGCACAGGGCCGTGATGTTCAACTATGGCGGCAGGATCCATCCATTAGTGCTCCTCTCTCAGCATCTCCTTCGCGTCCAGTTGAGGGGTTGGAGCACATACGACGTCCGGCTGAGACGCACTGCGTGCCGATTCAGGCGAACTTTACCGACGCAAAACAAGAGTCACGAACGCGCTTTACCTTACTAAAGGCCGACACCCCTGGAATGCCACATCAGAACACACGGCGGCGCATGCCCCCCACAGAAATGTCCTTGAGGCCCTAGGCGGCAAGAAGTGTCCTTGATCCCCTTCACATTCACCCACATGTACCTCTGGTCGTAGTTGTGGATAGCCACGAAGTCCAGGTGGATCGACCCGAGGACCTTGTGGTCTCTACAGCATATCCGCCCAACTTCACCTTCACGATGGTGGAGTTGCCCTCGTCCTACTCGATCGCGCACATACCTGTGCGTGTATATGCAGATGCAAATGTCCAACTCCTTCATGTACCACCCCCCGTTCAAGACCGTAATCTGAGAATTTTGTCGTGCGGAATCGTCCTCTCGCTGTTCCTCGCGTACGTGCTCACCTCGATGTCCAGCCCGACGACCAGCAGCTCGGGCGGCTTCAGGCGGTCCCTTGGCTTGGGGCCCACATTCCCGCACGGCTTGTAGCCCGCCATCGAGGTCATGCGCAGCTTCCACAACTCATTCGATGTCGAATTGTCCGCGTCCAGATTCGCTCCGAGGTCAAGATTATGCGCAGCGACGCAACTACGAGCACCCTCGTGTTGTTTATCGTGAAGCGGGACGACATGACGTTCAAGCACGTGCTCGTGTGCCTAGCCATGTTCTCAGGCTCGACCGGCGGTTTCCAGGTCAGTGTACTTTGTCTACTGCAAAAACGCCGCGTCCTGGGCGCAGATGGAGTCGACCCATGGAGCGTGCGAGTTCTTGGAGCTGGCCGATACTATGGCTCCGGTCAACTTCGCTCTTAACGCTGTCGAAGAGCAGTGTACTGCGTCTCGCACATGTACAGAAGCGTGTGCAGATCGCCCATCTGCCACTAGTGACATCCCTCTGATAGATGTCCCAAGTCTCAAGGCCGCTAAATAGCATCAGTCAGCAACGCTCCAAACAGTTGTGCACTGCCCGCAAGGTGCGACTATAATCTTTTAGGCAGGCGTAGGCGCAAACTTCCTACTTTCTACGCTACCACAAGGTGATGGCTACTTGTGGAATTTCAACGCTAGTCTACGTGCTAGCCTTGACGTCGGCAGTGTTGAAGGCGCCGAGCATAAGAGTATTTGGACGACGGCATGATGGTGTACGACACCCCGCACAAGGCTGGAATCCAGTACCCAACGGACCGAGCATGTCAGGACGTACATGTTTGTGGTTGAGATCTTGAAGGGGTTCTTGAAACATCAAGTGGTGGACATCTAACTCCTTTGTGTCGAGCGAGCCAGCACGTTGCTCCCGTCCTAGACCTCGTCGCGCTTGAACAAGATCCCGTTCTACAACAGGGGTTCCGCCAACAACAACATCAGAGGCTCGTCGTCTACCTTATGGAGGAGACGAGCAAGATAGCGACGATCCCGGCGTCTATAATCAGCAACAATATCTTGCTCGTGTCTATCTCCATGTCACTCAGCGTTCTTGATATATACACAAACGCACCCCGACTCTTGCCATAGCCATGGACTCGCGGTTCTACAAGAGCGGGAACAGGGTACGGCCAGCCTCAAGTACGACGTTAACTGATCGGGCCTGGATGCGATCATTGGCATGAACACGGTGGCGATAAGGTGCGGGACAACTTCCAAGACCCTGTGCACGTCATGGAACGTAGTTGCCCGACCTCGTGGGCACCACCTCGAACGTACGAGGTCTATTAAGTCGATTTGGAAGTCGTACAGGACTCTGACTGAGTACGGGAAGCAGTGCGTGCTGCCGGAGAGATCCAAAGTCACCTACAACCTCGAGCACTTGAAGATCGTCGTGAGGATGATGTACCACGGAACACGTCGACGCTCTCGATCATACCTGAACAGCGGGTTGAATGCGTACATGACCAGGAGCCAGCCCATGGGCACGCCGTCTCGACTCACGATCCTTGAGCCCCAGCCAGCCCAGAACTGTAGACGACGACACGCAAAGACGGGCTCTCATCGACAAGAAGCCGAACAGGTTCGCGGACTTGCTCAGCAACAAGACCACCAGCGCGAACAGCGACTCGGGCCAGCCGGCCGTCGACACGGCTGTCTCAGGATTAACCGCAATGCGCTATTCCACGGCTGCCGACAAACACACGATGGAGTACGTGCGAGGAGGCCGGTTTAGTCTGGACTTCACCCAATAGCGGGCGTACTCGCTGCATCACTTCCTCAAGCGCACCTCCTCACCACGTTCATTGAGATTCCTGGTTAGTATCAGACGAGGGGCCGGACCTCGAGAGCAGCCAGTGGCTCCAATACTGGAGGCGGGACCATGGACTCTGTAGTGGACACCTTTGTCAATGCCTCCAGCAGAGTGCACACGCCTGACAAGCGCTCCACCGCGTTCAGCGAATGGGCAAACAAACTGGCCGGGGATTTAAACCATGCAGGGATCCATCGACGGGCTCGCGGGCAGCAGCTAGATCTTACGTTCAGCCAGAGTAGACGCATGAGCAGTTCCAGGCTCTTAGAGTACGCTGCTTGCCCAGCGTCAACTATGCAGCTGCGGCAGCCACTCCACCGTTCATCCTCACCAGACTGGAAAGCACTATCGCTTCCAGCCCATTCGTCTTACAAATCTCCATGGAATTTGCCCGGCGGAATCGACCTGAAAGCGACTGAACGCTGATCTCGTCGTATCCATTCCGGCCATCGGGCATGGGAGGTGGTTTCGGTGAAGCGGCCAAGCAATGCCGTCAACGACGATTCTCATCAACCTCCATCACACGGCTGCGGCCTTGACGTCATCCGGACAGTACATCTATTGGCTGCGCACAAGAAAGATGAATGGTGTACACCGACTTCCACCATTCTCGGGTCAAAAGTGCATGGTTCACAAGCTGAGCCGAGCAATACCTCTTCAGAATTTAATCAAGGCATGCAAATGGTTTGCACGTAAAGTACGCGACGTCGAGGCGATGGTGAGCCATACGAAGGCTTTATTAGATGAGATTGCACGTCAAGCTCTCCTTCAGCGAGCGCCGCAGTAGCCCTGGCTCTGATCGATCAACAATGAAATACACTACCACTTTCAACATTGTAATGACTGCTCCAATGTTGCAAAGTCGTTCCTAATCCATCGTTCGTTTCGCCTCGTCTGGGCTGATGCTCCTTTCTTCTCGCTGCCCTCAACCTAACACTATCGGTGAGCGGGTCAACTGCTTCAGTCTCTCCAGCAGGGTTTCGAGCATGGCCACACAAAACTTCAGCGCATTGTCAGTGTGTGTAAGCAGTCGTGGGGCTCTACACTTTTACGAACCATCACAGCGATCGACGACTGAACCTGAGAGCGGCTAGGCTTTTCTAGTACTCATGTGACGTCTTCGTCTGCAACTTTTACCAACCGCGATGCTTGACGCTCATTGATTACCGCAAAAACCAATGTCCGCCACACAGGTCGAAGCAGCCCTACGAGTCGGCCAACTCAATTCCTAGTCTCTACGACTTCAGAAATGCCTCACGTCAAGTTCTGATCCCTCGCTCAATTGAGCGGAAGAATGCAGCATTGACTGAAGCTTATGGATGACAAGAAGTAGTTTGGTACGCCATCGAGAATACCCGAAAGCGACGAAATTCGCCTTGTAGAGTTAAAACTCGATCAAATGAGACTCGAGTAGGAAGTTCATCTCCAGCTTTGGCCTGGATGCGAGGTATCGATATCGATACCCATACCAGCGCCACCAGGAACGCATTGGACGTCGGGATATCGACATTTAGAGACTGAACACCGTGCACAGTCCATCCACCCCGTATAACTGCCTCCGAGTCCTCGTCTGGTGACCAATATTGATAGGCAATGCCTTCATTTTGGTCTTGCACATTTAGCCGAATATGCCCATGCATACAATAATGCTCAACAATACGTGGTGCTGCGCAGCGACCATGTGGCGCCACAAAATCCATGCCACGAAATTGCGCATTTTTATTGGCAGAAGAGGAGGCCGTTTGGCCCGGCCCAGCGACTACTTTCAACACCTCATCGTCTTCCTGCCTGATTGAGAAGTTTCCAGGGCTGGTGGCGAAGGACAACCCTAGCTGGCGGCGTAGCTGCCTTGCTGCGCCACCGTATCTTATCATCGACGCGTCTCTAGACGTTGTAGGATGCACGCGCTATCCATATCACAGTGCAGCGGTCGCTTGGACACCAAATTAGATATCGTCGACCTAGGCCAGCAACTCCGTTCTCGTACATTGTCAGTAGCGCGACGCTGTCATTTGCCTGCTCCACGTTGTGGGTCGGATGTAGAGATGAGGTCGCGCTCCTCCACACATAGGTGGTATTACATTCCTCGTATATTCTTGGCTTTTACCCTTGCGGGAGTTGATGACTATCTGGTTGGGCGGCCCTTGATCTGCAGCCACTTACGGTACCTCGCTCCCACTGCTGCCCGCCCTCTTGCTGCCGTGTGCAAGTCTAGAAGCATTGACAGACCAGAAGTATGCTCATCAGCCAACTGAGGGGCTGAATACTGGTTGGTGCAGTCATGAAGGGATCGAGCTATACATCTTTCTGCCTATGTAATCATCGGCGTTAGGGGGGTCCTGCTGCATCACCCGCTACTCGCGCTCCTCTCGATTGTCGCCTTTTCGCCGATCCCATCATCGCGATCGGCTCTCTCCTCAACGGGAGACTCGGTGGTAGCCTTGCCGAACTCACTAAACGGCTTGTCGACATTGACGGCGGTATTTTGATTCAATCGCTGGAGATCCAACACAAGCACCCAGCATGCGGAGACTTTCAGACAGTCATAGCGGATGATCATCTTACCAAGGACAAGTGATCAGCAGTCCAAGCAGAATGCTTTCGCGTCTGATAAGTCGTCTCCCGCCTTAGAGAGTGTTGTACAATCAAGCTTGCTCAAAAGGCGCACAATGTCACGGGTACATTCACTCGACAATGCCAGGTCGGCCAAGGAATGCACAATGGAACCTCGGGTCTTTGGTGCAAAGACACAGCGTGGCCGAAATTCGCTCAGATCTCAGCTAACCACAGTTTCAGAACGCGTCGCAAGTCGATTGGCTTCTTGTCCGAGCGTACAGCGCGAAAAATGCATTCCACCTTTCTCTCCACGATATACTGGCCTACTGAGAGAAAACAAAGCTGTCGATGTAACAGAGCGGTTGAAAGCTCTAGGTCACTTGGTTCGACGTGGACAGTGAGCTTGCTCTGTCCTGTACTGAGGGTTTATAGTACTTTTAGACACTGGCAGTGTACTTCCAGTTGCACACCCAGCTCGGCGTACATTTTACTCCATCTGCAGTTCCGGCATTTGAAGGAATGATACTTCCTCTTGTCTGAGGCATGACTCGCCTTGCCTAGCGCGGTCGTCCGCCGCTGAATACGATGCCGTTGTTACTGCGAGGTACGGGTTATCTTACCACCTGCACCTGCACCACGCCCTTACGCTCCGTCACTACTACCACCATCAATCATAGTAGGCTGTGTTACAGCTCGTAGGCAGGACCCAAGTCGTCTACGTTGGGACGTAACTGGTTTAGACGTAGTGCGACTTTGGATATCCAGGTTTTGATCCTTCGATGCCGCCGTCCAGCTTCTTGGTCGAGGTAATGTCGCGCGCCATTCGGACACTGATTCAGGCTGCGAGTGTGCTGGCGGCATGATCATGAAATTCATGGAGATTGGGGAGTTTCTAGGCTCCAAGTCCCAGAGAGACCTCTTGAAGCCGATTACCCGAATGGATGAGCGGTCGGCCATTTCATTAGGTATTGCGGTTTTCTGCGGCGAACTCTGCAACTGACAATGGATGCGACTTGGAACTCAGTGCTAGAACCTGCGGCCTTCTCTTTGTCGTCCTTGCTCAGTCCTTTACTAGGAACGTCTGGACCAGTATCATGGTGGCCGCCATTCGGTGCACTAGAGGTCTGCTTCAGATGGATAACTGTCGTCACTTGTTCTATCCATGGTAACGGCTTGACCAGCGTCAACATGGCGTCTCCAGCCTCGGTGGCTTCAACGTCGGACCACTCAGAGCCCTCATCTTCGCTGGCGTCTCCATTGTCGTCTGACTCTTTGGGGCTATCATTCCCAACAGCACCTCCATTGTCGGCCGGTGCTTCAGAGTTAAAACTCTCATCAGCATCTCGATTGCTGGTCGGCACTTCGGAGGTTTTGTTCTCGCCTGCACCTCTATTGTCGCCCGGTTCGCCCGAGATATCGCTTCCATCCGCCTCTTCCTCGTTGGATGAGGCTCACGCTGAAGGCTTTGCAGTGTAATTCTCTACTTCATGTGCTTCCTGGAGCCGCACCTGCCCAGATTTCAGCTCGTGCGTACGACAATTCAGCGACTTCTCCGCTACAATGTGTTCAAAGACGCGCTTGACGCGTTTTTTACTTTATACTGCTACTCCACGGGCACCCACGGCACTCATCGATGTCAAGAGCAACAAATTCCTCTCCAGACGAGCTGCCATGGCCTTGCACTCATCAAAAGGGAACGGTGTCCGACTGGGGAAAAGGTCCACCATGGCTATCTGCTCCTCATTTTTGCGGGTCGACCGCGGCAGGGCAGTCTTGCCGTGCAGGCAGACTGCATTCATGGCGCTCAACCTGTGGGTACTGGTAGCGCAAGATCTTTGAAAGAGGAAATGGGTGGTCGGAGATGGAGCAGATGGCGCTGCAGTACTGGATGCAGGTCGCGGACATACCTTTCCACATTGTCATTTACTCAAAGGGCAAAAAGTTATAGCTAAGCTGTTCGATGACTTCATGTGTAAAGCAGGACAGTGAGGCAACCTGGAGACTTTAAGCTCGGCTCTCCCAATCCAGCAGCTAGCTCAAAGTTCCGAATTCCCACGCCAATCGCTGGGCTGTTTCCTGGTATCATCTGTGGCCCAATGTGGCTGCTCTGTTGAGAGAAATTTACTTCTAAGCGACACGCCCCATGGATGCCTAAAGTCGCATCGAGACTGGTTACGCGGTGATACAATTGTGCTTCGCCGTCTGCTTCTTCTCCTTCGACAACGCTGCGATGCTGATACTCAGATGTGCAACCAAGTTTGCTAATTAAATCTCAAGTGTCTCTAGAACTGCAGCAAGGCGGAATGTGATTGATGTTTGGGGGAATAATGACAGGACATTCAATTGCTTGTTAATACACGTCCGAGTGCGACGAGTTTGAAGAGCAACGATTAATAGTCGCGGTTGTTCGTTGAACGCGGCGGAGGTGAGTCTGGCATCTTTGATTCCTTGTTGGCGCGCCTAAGAGACGGTACCTCGCTCATTTGTCTGTCCGCTCTAGGGCGCAGCGAGGCAGAATAGAGCTGAATTCTCTTTCTAGGTGTCATGGAAGCTCTAACACTTCAATGGCACGCGCCTCTGGACGTATGTAGGTATAAATGAAGGGGAAAGCACAAGAAGCTTATGTGGGAGCTCTTACTTCCCCGTTGATGCCCATCCATGGACGCGTTAAGTGGCATAACGAAGCGGAGGGCATTCTAGTCTTTCTCTACTTCTTATTGATCGCTCTGCGCTCGTCGTACTACGATATTGTACCAACAAACAGCCCTCTCTCTAGCAACGAATACCTAATCGTAGCAGAGCCACAGACTTTATGGCTGCAAACGAACTAGGAGCAGCAGATTATGCAGTGGAAGAGGTGGGCGGGAGAACTGGATGGGCTGGACATGGATAGGGAGGAGAGGGAGGAGAGGGAGGAGAGGGAGGAGAGGGAGGAGAGGGAGGAGAGAGTTGTTTAGCGGGATGATGAGAATAGGATGGGGGCGGAGATTATGACGAGTAGTGAAGTGGTGCCAGACGAGTGGAGGCAGGGAGGAGAAGTGAAGAAAAGAAGAGATTAGGGCCTTGTCCGCGCTATGTGTTGTAGCTAGGGCAGCAACGAGACGCGCCCTCTGAACCAATCACGCTGTGCGTTGTACGGACAACAGCGAAGTCATTCTAGCAAAGCACAGTCTCAGCAAAGGTTATAATGCGATTAAATTTCGTCTCGACTAAGCATGTATGTTTAACGCTAGAGGTCTTTTAGCCTCTTAAGGCGAGGATAGCAAGTTGAAGCGAGGATAGCAAGTTGAGGCGAGGATAGCAAGTTGAGGCGAGGGTAGCAGCGAGGACAGCAAGTCAGGCAATGATATTGCGTTCTACGTCACACAACTCTTTCTTCGCTATCGTAAGGTGATGGCTACTCGTGGAAATACGGACGCTGGTCCATGTGCTAGGTGTACACCTGTTTGATGGGCTTCCACTCACTTCTTTATCTAGCTGGGCTTGACGCGCATTGCGTGCGTCTTGCGTAGTGAAGTGACATGGACGTTCCTTGGAGCCGTTGACAGCAGGGTCTCGATCAGATGCGGCAAGAATGCCGACGAGCTCAGCGATCCGTGGCGTCTTAGTAGCCAGACTTTCCAGATTGTTTTGACGGCCGCTCGAGGCACTTCAGCAACAATCATCATCGCCCATTTGGCCCCAAGCCCTTGGAATATAATTTGTAAGTCCATGTGCGTGTTTAGCAGGAATGGCGTCTCCAGTTGGTGGAACCTAGGCGAGGCTATGGTGGCCCAAATCAAGTGGTCAGGCAAAAATTAATTTTAAGAAAATCAACGCAACATCATGCTCCTGCACGCACATAGTACAGCACCACCACGATGCTGCACTAGATAGGATAATGTCGAGTAAGTAAAACGTATGCAGCGAGCATTTCAAGAAAACTAAAATTTAAGAATAAGTGCTGTATAGTAGTGCAGAGGGGGTGCAAGTAGGGCGTGGATGAACTTATGATTATCGGCGATTTTTATTAGAATTACCGACGTCAGTTCCGAACGTTCCGAGCAAAATTGCAACCAATTATCGGAAATGTCAGAGCGCGTACGAACACCAACACTTCTGAAAAACAGTTATTTGCATGCATCTTTAACCCCTACTGCACCACTGCACAGCACTTGAATCACAGCTCAGTACAAAGGTGGCGCAAGGCGCATAACTTAAGTGAGTACGCGTGCGCGACCCGTTTACTAGCTTTTGGACAGACGACATCTTCCGGACCCAGGCGGTGTAATGGCCAACTCACAGCGCAGTTGCAAACGACCAATCGTCCTCTGCAACTGCTCTAAGATTCGCGGCAAATGAGCCATCGGCCTCAGAGCACCTTTGTGAAGAGGAGGACATGTTGGGGGCGAGAGAGTCAGGGACGGCGCAAGCGGCAGTCCTTGGTTGACTGAGCAAGAGTCCATCGGTCCCGCGACTGGCGACATCGCCATGTGCAAATATATCTTGGTCTCGACACTTTGCCGATATGCGTTACCAACTGGTCTCTGACAGTTGTAGTTGTGGCGCATATGGCTCACTGCTCAAACCCCTCCACTTGGACGCCTGGACCAGCCTTCCTACTCTTGTCCCGAGTCCTCGATGCATGAGACGAATATTTTGGTGTTAGACTATCCGAAATAAGAAAGTGTGTTGTGAATGTAGTCGAAGAGGAGTTGCTGTCGCAGAGGCCTGGACACCCTGTTCGGCTTTCCAACCTCAGACTGGAGAAGATGACCCACCGCGGCACTCTTGACTTCACCATCCCATCTATCTCGTCGACCGCATCGACCACGCGATTCGTCTCGTCAAAAGCTACCAGATTGTTGGAAAGGGATCGCCTGCGCGATAAGCGGCCTGGCGGCAAGGCATCATCGTTGCACGCCCATAAGAGTCTTACCACGCCTCTGTTTTCACTACCGCCGCTTCGATAGACTTTCATACCCTCATCTACCCGCGGTGCGAGGCTAAAGACATTTACTCGCCAATGAGATGATCTGCGACCGTACGCAAAGTCACGCGCTATCACATCTGTTTGGCTTGCGCTCCAAAGCCTTTGTGACACCACCTCCGCTACACCCTCATCTCCACCTCGCAAACTATTAGGGGTCGCTCGAAAATAACATACCCCTTTTACACCAGAGTGCTGATTCGCGACCATGGCGCGCTGAAGGAAATCGAGAAAGACAAAGAACCGCTCGATTTTGGTTGGTTTTCAGACGGCTCTTGTGACTTGACCTGTAGCTCATCAACAACGCTACCACTTCGCGGGTCCGTCCACATCTGCCTTCCGAGTATGCTCTTACGTCTCCATCACTGCCTGCCTGGACGCAATCCCCGTCATACCTGAATAGTCTGCCTACCCAGCATCAACCCGCCTGCAAGGCTCAGCTATGCGCAAGTCAATCCTATACCAAGTTGTCCAACGAAACGCGGTTGCCCTCAAACACGCAAGCCAAAGTCAAAGACGTCTGGCTATCGATATACGGAACATGCAGACATGACGCACGTGCGCATATTCTACAAGGAAACCTTTTGCCCACAACAGAGGCTTCTGCCACCTGTGTAGCCATCCCCCCAACGCTTCCGTCCAATTCTCCGCCATAAACTTCTCTTCCTCTACAGGCGCCATCCGCGCACATCATCCAACACAATATGCTGAGCATATATCATGCATGAGGTGGACATGGTAGTGCGCACGACCCATAACAATAGCGCCAGGCTTTTCTTTCCAAAGGCTGCGCGGGAAAAGTGGACGAAGGATACTCACCAATAAGACCGCTATCGCCGCACCCGCACATAACTCCCACGTTGGCCGGGTAGAAGATGGCATCAGCAAGCCAAAGGAGCGCATGCCCTCCCGTCGACCGCGCCATGGCACTTGATGCAACAGCTGCGCCCACTTGGTTTCTAGAAATCTCCCTAGGAACAGTCCTAGCCCGCACCCCGTCTTCCGAAAGCTCGTCGTTCATAGTACGTCTACTGACGTCGTTCTTCTCCTTCCAAAAGGAGGCGTCGCGGACAACTTCTTCAACCGCGCCTCAGCCGCACTCCGCAGCGCTATAACGTCAATATCATTCGAGACTGAAGATCCCACGTGCGACCGACGCTTTGCAGACTGCACATGCCGCATAATATCTCTTGGTCATGGCGTTCTTGCCTACACAGGGTCGGGCACCAGGAACACTTCCTGCACGTTCTAAAGTTGGGTCGCCTTTGGCGGGGTCAATTGAGAGCATTTTGATCCGGGATCAGCACCAGCATGGCGAGTATCCACTAGAGACCCCATCTTCCTTCTCGAGTGATCTGTTTTGTTAGCCTGAGGGATGATATCATTGATCAAGGCATATTCAACTCAAAGCCTCAAGGAGCTGGAACCGTGAGATACCAACCAAGGAGTTCATACTCGATTGATCCCAAGTGCCACCTCTAGCATCGATAACTGGAGCCGTGGTGGCGCCAGGCAGTCCGGGCTGGCAATTCAAGGCTTCGTTTGAGAAATAACGACCTCAACGCAACACCGCTGTAAAAGGCGCCGTCGCGGTTGTGGAGCTTTGGACAACAATGTCACATTCCACTTCAGCACTTCGTTTATCGTCTCGACAAGTCCAAGAGGAACATCTGGCTACCTCTGCGCGAATTTTACATTCAGAGCGACTCCAAATCGATGACGTTAGATCAACCATCGGGCCAGGGCGAAACTGAGAGATGAGCGTAATGAGTCAATGGATCGAGTTGACGCTTATGGGTGTCGCAATTCAATCAGCCCCAACTATTCGCAGCACACAGGTCCTGAGGAGGTCGACGTTAAGCGTTCGGAGAGTGAGCTGTGGGATTGGATAAGCTTGAGAGCGAACGTCCATCGCATCTCTATAGCATTGTCTTATTTTGGTATTGACTAACTTCATAGATCAAACATCTCCAGCCGCCGGATTAATCCTGCCATAAAGCTAGCAATGGGTCGCTGATCTCAGAGGGTTATCGACAGCTTCACTCGAGTAAGTTGTAGCAGGTGGAATGACGTCTCTCGTTTGTATGTCGTCGAAACGCCTCCCTCTCCTCATCACCCACAAAGCCCAGTCTGAGCTGCGCTGACTGGAAAATGGCGCTACAGACACAGGTTTGTACGTATCGACACCGTTACCGCACTGCAAGCATGAAGCTTTGGGCGACTCTACACATTAGCTGTGCCAGAGATGTGTTGCAAACGAACATCTCAGTGTATTAGCAACCGGAATTGCGTTGGTGCTACAGCATTTGGACTTGAGCTCGCAGTACGCACACAGGGACAACCGCAGTAGATTGTAGAAGCGGAACCCCGTGGTGGGTTGTTCACTCAACACCCTCTTCCTCGACACCCTCTTCTTCGACACGAAGCTCAGAAGCTATCCTCTTTCGAGTGGTGGACCACTACCTTGGCAAGGATGTCACCATCTGCAGCCATGCGTGAAGCGTGCAAAGTTCGGCAAGGGCATGCGGGTTTCTTGGGTGACAATAGGAAAGACCGGATGAGTGAGCAGGCGTTGCAGATGCGCGCAAGGCGCATCGCGCATCAAGTCAGGCTCCTTAGCCTGCATCTCTGACATACGCGCATGCCATGCAGACCACGATAGCGGTGTCCCTGGCCCGGCAATTCGTCTCCCGCTGCGCAACTACACTATAGCCAGAGAAACGACAGTTTCGTCCCCCTGCCCATTCTTACCAAGTGCAGTCATTTGCGCTCGTGCCTTGAGCTGCAGCAAAACCTAGCGTCTTGAGACGCAGAAGACGAAAGTGATGCACATGTCGGGCCACGAGCTAGAAGGGTGCCGCGTGAGTTCCCACTCGCGTCACTCGTCCTAGGCAGCCTCCCCGGCCCATACCGGCAGGTTTGTGCTGATGAGGAGCTCACGCTTGGTGATTTTGTAAGTTGTCTGCTCGGAGCTTGCATCACTGAGGGCAAGTGTTGCTAGGGTAGGAAAGAGAATGTATATTGAACAGGTGGTGGTCGTCGAGTGGCGGGTCTGGACGCAAACTATCTCCGCGCCCTTAACAAACACCACTAAACGTCGAGCCTTCAAGCCCGTTGCTCGATCATGTCCTCGACGCTCGGCCTCCCTCCTCTCCCTCCTGAATCTTCCAACCTCGACGTCCTTTGGCATGTTCTGCTAGTCGGGTTGCGCTGAGGTGGTGGGTAGGCAGCAAGTGTCACACACCCAGCTTAACAGGCCTTGCCCTTCTTCTATACCTATTGGCATGATTTAGTAAAGGAGTCTGTGCTGAATCGTATTCCATTCCCGTACGCCGGTCGGCAAGAATCTCGAGCCCGGCGGCGCGTTGGTCTCTGGCGTCGAATGGCCTATGAGAATCCATTGGCATGGCCGCCACTTTGTAACGGCTTTGAAGGTCAGCTCGAACACAGAAAGGACATCCGAAGAAGCCTCAAGGATGCACGTCCTTTCCTCAACGATGACAATAGTAGCGTTCCTCAGCTAGGCTAGGCGATCAACAGCCACCACAACGATCTACTATTACAGAGACAGTCACAGTCGCACCCTCGACCAACGCCGCCGCGCAGGTGCAGACCGTTGTATACAGCCATTCGAGGAACCACAAGTTGAGAAGGAGTGCTTCGACACGTCCTGTGATGCCCCTGCACCAAGGTCCATCAAACTCCGACTCTACGGTTAGCTGCAGGGCAGAAATGTGATTCATGGGTAAGCGGCCGTTGCGCACGAAGCCAATATCGGTGTGTGCAAAGACTGCTTCCGTCATTCGCTACTAGGTGATGCTCTGAGCGATCAAGAGAAGATGGAAGAACAGAATCCGCTCGAGACAGAGGGAAGCGTCTCGAGGAATACGTGGCAAGATTGCAGAAGCAGAATGTCCTTTGGCATGGGCTGCGCAAGATTACTAAGAATATACTCATCTGAATTGCATCTCAAGCATGTCTTGGAATGGATGCCGCCACCACCAGAACAACCTCAAAGTCTGTAAGTATCCAGCCGGTTTCAGTTCGCCATCTTGAGTCGGAGCTTGTGCGCTGGAGCTTCAGCAGCGTCACTCTCCTATCTTGTCGCGACATTCTCATACGCAGCCGTGGACTCGGTAGGCCCAGTAAGATCACCTGTTTGTAAGTACTTCAAGCAAGCTTTACGTGACAGTATCTGGCTTGGACCTAAATGCAGGTACCCCGCTTTCCTTTGGGAACGCCTCGCTCCCATCAACATGGAGGCAGTGTTGGAACGCCACAAACGTTTCCGCGAGCATAACCGCAGTGACATCTAGCCCCGAGGCCGTCGACCATGCGCACTGGATCGACCAGCTTGATATTGCGCAACAATCAGATCGCCGACGATAGGCGTAAGGAGCAAAAGGCAGGTGTCTCTACTATTCCTTCCCGATCGCCCTACCTATCACACTGTCGGCAAATGAGACGGTCTTTGGGCGAGTAAGAAGCTGTTCGGCTGTTCATGGCTGAGATGGCGTTGGCAACATCGTTTTCTCTGGTCTTGCTTGATGCCAGAGGAATGCAGACTTCTGGCTTCGAGGAATGATGGAGGAGATGCGGATCCATGCGCGATACATGATGAACACCTCACGTGCCCTCTACCAGAAGAGGGAGGACTGATAGTCCAAGCATGATAGAGCGTCGGGAGCACGAAGCGGTCATGGCTGGAATGCGGGGCGAGTATGTGCCAACGTCCGTGGGGAAGCGGTCGAGGACTTCCCCACACGAGGCAACGCGCCCACAATGGAGCTCCGGATATACCACATGCGGGCGAATGTGAACTACATCATATGCTGTGCCACGTGCTGGCGCAACGTCACATTCACGGACTGGTTCTCGACTAGGAGGGTGGACCACTTCGACGTCAAGGGCATGGACATGACCGTGGCTATACATGCGTGCTGCACTGAACTCGCAGACGAGATCGAACCCAACGACGCTAGCATGGTAGAGGCTCTGTACGGGAACTAGACTACGCGCACGGGGATGATTGCGTACGTCTCTAGAGTCTTGAGTACCGACGTGTGCATCTTGAAGGACTCGAACGGGCGCAATGCAAGGTCGTGGACGCGCGCATGGTCATGCACAGGCTCATATTCTAGGGCTCGACTTGGCTCGTGGGCTCGTACAGACTTGGAGTCGCTGTCCTGGCGGAGCTGAAGGTCAGCTCTGGAAGCTCTTGGTCATTGGCAAGTACTCTCGCCATCCCAACACGTGCCAGGTCTGCCGTCCAGGGCTGTCGATATGGTTTATTCGACATGGCACGTGTCTCGTTGGCGGTCGTTTTCGTCATAATTGGTGTTGTCAATGCAATGGGAGTTCTCGCAGCGGTGGCAGTGCAGGAAGAAGGCGTGGCAGTACTCCGCGCGGCCTATGCCACCACTCGGCATCCTGTGTCACCGAGGATGGGGCGTCGACGGTGGGTGCGGGAAGATGGAAGTGTGCGTTAGGATTTCCGTCCAACGGCAATAAGCCGTCACGAAGGCTTGCGGAGAAGTGAGTCAGGGGCTATTTCGGGGAGCCCGAAATACAAGCAGCTACGTCAGGAAGTCACAAATGAGTTTGACAGCATTGCTGTCACAAAGGCTTGCAGAGACGTGAATCAAGAGCTATTTCGGGCTCCCCGAAATACAAGCAGCTACGTCAGGAAGTCACAAATGAGTTTAGCAGCAATGCTGTCATATCAAGAGACATTTCGGGGAGCCCGAAATACAAGCAGCTACGTCAGGAAGTCATAAATGAGTTTAGCAGCAATGCTGTCATATCAAGAGACATTTCGGGGAGCCCGAAATACAAGCAGCTACGTCAGGAAGTCATAAAGGAGTTTAGCAGCAATGCTGCCATAATAGCGTGCGGAGAAGTGAATCAAGAGACATTTCGGGAAGCCCGAAATACAGGCAGATGTGAATCAAGAGCTATTTCGGGGAGCCCGAAATACAGGCAGATGTGAATCAAGAGCTATTTCGGGGAGCCCGAAATGCAGGCAGCTGAAGGCACGTCAGGAAGTTACAAGAGTTTGACAGCGTTGCTGTCACAAAGGCTTGCAGAGAAGTGAATCAAGAGCTATTTCGGGGAGCCCGAAATGCAGGTAGCTGAAGGCACGTCAGGAAGTTAGAAATGAGTTTGACAGCGTTGCTGTCACAAAGGCTTGCGGAGAAGTGAGTCAAGAGCTATTTCGGGGAGCCCGAAATACAGGCAGCTGGACTGGCGGCGTACTAGCACGTTGGGAAGTCATAAATGAGACGTCGGAGCAGCACGAGTGCAAGAGAGGGCGCCGCACCATGTCTTTGCGATTATAAATGCTGTGCCCCGCTGTTTTGATGCTTTAGAGTTGTACACGATGGTCGACGCAAAGGCAAAGGGGAAGCAGCCGATGATGGCCCTCTCGGGAGATGTGGGTGGGCGAGCCTCGGGTACGTCAATCTCAAGCAAGCAGCAGACGGGTTTACTGACGAGCGCAGTCGACCGGCGACTGCCATACCGGCTCGACTTTGGCAAAAACAGGGGCAAGACGCTGCGCGAATGCCCGCACCACTACCTGCAGTTCCTGACAGACAACCGGACGCGGTTCGATTCGACGAGGTATCCAGGGCTGCATCGGGCACTAGCCGGGTTGATGCGCGGGACACCGTCGACGACGCCATCGCGCGGATCGCAGCGGGATGCGTCCAGAGGCCCTTTGGACGCAGGGCTGTTGAATGCCGCGTCTTTGAATACAGAGCCCCCGGCGAGACGGCGGCCCGTAGCGCCCATGACACCAAGACCACTACCGACGCCAAGACCATCACTGACACCAAGACCACTGACACCAAGACCACCACCACCTCGACACATTCCTCAGCGACCTGCTACACCTCCCCCGTCGCCGCATGCTACACCTCCCCAATCGCCGCCGCCACAGCAACATACTACATTGCCGCCGCCACAGCAACCTACTACATCGCCGCCGCCACAGCAACCTACTACATCGCCGCCGCCACAGCAACCTACTACATCGCCGCCGCCACAGCAACCTACTACATCGCCGCCAGCTTCAGGCGGCGGCTGGTTCCCGTGGAGAGCCAAGCGCCCTGCTCCCAATGCTGCTCCCGACCGACCGCCCCAAGTCAAGCGACGCTGCGTCTCGGCGTCCCCCGAGCCACGCGACCATAACACGCTCGTCCGCATCGACATCGCTCGCGACCATGCACGGCTCGAAGCCCTCGTCGAGCGCAACCGCCACGATGCTCGCCAAGCAATCACGCGCGCCGCCAACCACCACGACGACCAGTTCCGCGATGGCGTGTGGGACCTGGGCGTCCTCGTCAAGCACATGGCCCGCAAGTCCACCGACGAGACCTTGGCCCAGCTGCGCGATTTGCTCAACGGCCCGCTAGCCAAGATGGCCCAGATCCAGCACACGGTCGAACAGGCTGAAGCGCGCGACATGACACGGCACGCCCAGCTTGACGTGGAGCGACAAGCGCTGCAAGTTCGCGTCCACCAGCTCAAGGGCGCGATACAAGCAGCAGTGGGTGACGCCGACGCCGACGCCGATGCCCTGCAGCACCATGTCAACGACTTGCGAGCCCGAATCCAGGAGTCCACGGACGCAAGACAAGCGGCCGAGTCCAACGCGACCAGGCTCCAGGCAGCGCTTGACGCAAGACAAGCGGCGTCCGACACGGCCAGGCTTCAGGCAGCGCTTGACGCAAGACAAGCGGCGTCCGACACGGCCAGGCTTCAGGCGGCGTCCGACACGGCCAGGCTTCAGGCGGCGTCCGACACGGCCAGGCTTCAGGCAGCGCTTGACGCGAGCCAGGCAGCCGAAGCCGGCGCAACACCGGACGTGCAAGTGCTCCAAACCGATATCCGTGAACTCAAATCCGCGACCCAGGCAGCCGCCCAACGCCTGGCAACCCAGCTTGAGCAGCTCAAGGCAGACTCGGACAACGAGCTCCGGCTCCGACACCAGATGCGCGAACTTGAGACTGCGAACGTAGCCAACACCCAGGTCATTCATGCTCGGGACAAGGTCGTCCACGAGCTCCAAACTCAACTTGACAAGGTCAAGGCAGAGGCTGGCGACTGCAAGAGCAAATTCGACAATCAAGTCAACCGCATGCATGAGCTTCAACACGGACTTGACAAGTCTAAGCGAGAGGTGCAAGCGCTGCAGGGCCAGTGCAAGGAGGCACTACATGTACAGAGGGATACCGCTGAGCTGAAACATAGCGTCGACGACATGATCGACCAACATCACCGTGAGCTTGTCAACGTGCAGCACGAGCAAGCGATGATTTCGCACCAAGAATCGGAATCCAGCTTGCGAGAACAACTATCGGCATCCAGCTTGCGCAAACAACAGTTGCAGTCGGAACTGGAGCACTACGAGGATCTGGTCAAGATTCAGACCGACACAATCGAACAAGCATTGAACACTAGCCAGCTCACAATTCCGGGCTTGCAAGACGATGCTGGAGGCCATGGCTCCCAGGGCTCCGGGCGAGGTGGCGACAACGCCTGGAGAACCGCCGCCAGTGAGAGCGGTTCTCCTGGCGACTATGTTGATGAGGGCAGTCCTTCTGGCGCCGACCTACGAGCTCTTATCAGACGTATATACCTCGACGGAACCATCCCAGTCTTGGAGTGGGATACAGATATGGATTAGTCATGGACTGGAAGGCCTTCAAGTCTCTCACATCCACGCCGGGCAACTTGCCCCCACAGTGCACCTGGAAGTCATTTGGTTTATTCGTCTTTTCCTTTGGTATCTTATCTCACCAGCTAGTCGCTCCATGTTGCCATCCAATCAAACTCATGGGCGAGGCTGGCCTTGCTATGTCGCAGTCATATCTACCCATGCTTCATCTTCATGTCCTACTTTTCCCGGTTCGCCAATGCCCACATATAAATCATTACCTTACCCAGCCACCCGTCTCCTTTCTCACCAATTCCATCCTCGTCTAACAGTGTGATATACGTCAGTACTTCGCCTTGTCCTACTTCGCCTGGTCCTTCTTCAACTGCTTTTCTAATCACCAAACTAGAGCTCGGCAGTGGCGCCCCCGGCATCTTCACCCCCTCCGGCATCTTCACCTCGTCCGACATGTTTGGTTTTGTCTTACGCTTCACGCGTCTAGGCATGGCCATTTCCTTAAAGGCGATCCATTGCTTATCGGTCCATATGTGGTACTGGTCGCCGGTTTTCTGGATCTTGATGAAGGTCATGGTGGCGGTTGTGGTGTCGTCGTTCTTGTCGCTGATCCATGCGGGTATGTAGTGACCCATGTAGTGGAGTGCTTCGGCCTCGGTGAACGACGGGATGGGCTTCGGTGCCTTGGCCAAGGTAAAGGACTGGACAGGCTGCGAGGCATGGCTTCGTCCACAATCTTCGGCTGGTTTGGAGCTGTGCTCGAATTTGCTTATGTAGGATGCGATGACAGAAGTGATTGCTTCTTTGGTTTCGTCGGATAGCGTTGGCGGGTGCTCGATGCCAGAAGCGTTTGCTTCTTGCACTTCGTCGGATATCACCGCTGGGTGCTCGTTTTGCGCCATATTGGGGTTGTGGGGAGTGCAAGGAAGGGAGTAGGTTGTGTCGTTGACAGATTTGTCGACAATGAAGCCAATGAAGCCTTGGGCCCTACGCTTCTTTCCAAAATCCTTAGGCTTGATTGAGGTCTGGTCGATCAAATGAGAGATGGGGCAAATATATAGGTAGGGTACAATATTGCTACGATCCTCTTCTTATGGTTCCTGGGGTCGTTTTATCGATAAGCTCCATGTGATGGGTCACGTGATCCATCACAATGCACGTCGTTATACCGCTTTACACCGTGCATTGTGCACGTGTCCTAACAAACGTTTGCAAGCTATCATGAGTGTAGCTTGCTTGCCAGAGCAGCTGCTTGCTCGTCAGCTTGCTTGGTTAGCTTGATGAGGCTTCCTTGTTGACAAGTCGGGTCGTTGATCAAGTTTGACACGGTTTGGGCTTGCCGGATTGTTTGCTACATTGTTGCTGATGAAAACATCTCACTTCTTCCTTGCACCCTTTCACCCATCTTTCGGGTGGCTACTGTCTTACCGTCATCTCACTTCGCTTTGTGCAAAGTGTCCCGAGTGCGCGGCCTGTGCCTCCCTCTCAAGCTTCCAAGCATCACATCAAATCACTCCTAACGACCTCTTCCACCACCAACAACACGCCATGGACGCCACCCCTGTCGAAGAAGCCCACAACACGGGCGTCGTCCCTATCGGAGACGCCCGCAGACTAATGAACGAAATGGAAGCGCCGATTAAGGAGATTGTTGAAAAAGCACTGCAAAAGCAAGCCAACGAAATTGCAGAGCGTACCCAAAGGCTCAAGGGAGATATGAGCATCGCACATAAGAAGGAGGTGGACGAACTGAAGCGCCAGCTTGAAGCTGTGAGTGGTGAGATGGAGAAGAGAGAGGTCGAGAGGAGTGAGTGGCATGCTGAGAAGAAGAAACTGATGGAAAAGCTGGCTCCGCTTGAGGTCTGGGCACGCATCATCCTTCCCGACGCGTCCAGCGCCGCGTATAAGAAGTCCTCGAATAGAGCGGCGGCATGGAGGGTTGACGGAAAGTATTCCATCTGCTCGACTGGAGTCGCCACCAAGGACACTAGCAAGATTGCCAAACCCAAGAACATCAAGGACACCAACAAGAACGCCAGCACCAATATGGGACATAGCTCTACCAACACTCCAAACTCCTCGTCCTCATTCATATACGACCGCGTCTTCGATCCTGCTTCCACGAACCTCGACGTCTACAATGCGCTAAGCGTATATGTCAAGCACGGCGTCGAGTCTAAACACCTCATGCTCTTCATGTACGGGCAGTCAGGAACCGGCAAATCTCAAACCTTGATTCATCCATATAAATCGAAGTCCGCGCCTGGCGACAAGCGCGACCATAGCCCCTTGATCGAACGCATACTTGAAAAAGCCTTCGCCCAACGCATCGATGGGGATGGTCATGTGTCGGCACGCATTACATGTCTTGAATACCGCTCCGGCCACTTCTATGACTTGGCCGCGGCGAAGGCTGTGGCCACGGGGAAGAGTAAATCTATGCTATTTACGCCGAAAGACGGCACGTACAGAATTAAAGACGAGACTGCCCGATCTCACGAACTCATCGCTCCTATCTTTACCTCAGCTGAAAACGCGATCAACCATATTCGGGCTTCGGACGGAAAGCGGGGAGAGGGTAAGACAACCGAGAATAATAAGAGTTCGAGAGGGCATGCATGGTACGAGGTTCGCATGTACCCCAGCAGCAAGAAGAATGGCAACGACGGGCAAAAAGACCGTAAAGAAGAAGAAGATGCGGCTCTGGGCGTGTACACGTTCTTCGATCTCGGCGGGCTGGAGCCGCTGCAGAATGGTTCCGGGGGAGTGCATGGCGCGAAGAAAGAGAGCAGTACTCTGACCGATGCGTTGAAAGCGCTCAACACGCCGCTCAGGGTAATTGCAGCAGGGAAGTCGGACTGGGGGGCGCCAAGCGATAATATGGTACGTGCCGTCTTCTGCTTTTCAAGTTCCTTCTCTTTCCTCCGTTTTTCCTGCCGATTCTTTAGACTGACCTGGCCATTTAGTTCGTGCAAGCCATTACGAGGCAGCTCAAGGGAGAAGGAGACAAGTATGGCAAGTTTGGGAGGCCGCAGATTATTGTTCTAGGACATGTGAACGGGTTTGAAGATAACAAAGAGCCGTCGAGGGAGGTGTTGGACAGGTTGCTGGGTTGGAGGACGTTGCGCTGATATGGAGGTTGGGATGATGCCTCCACCTCAGCAGCTGAAGTAGACAACATGTAGCCGGCGTCTAGTTCTGAGGGCTCAGCGCCCCACAAATTTCGCATGTAATGCTTCGTTTGCGAGAAGAGTCTGAGAGCAAATGCTACAACATGTTGCTTCTTGAACGACTGGATTTGTGGTGTTGTCGACGTCATAGTTGTCAGCAAAAAAGACGATTGGCGTCTTGATTCGCGAACGACCAAAAGTAGGGACGTGTCTGACTTCACATACTAAGCTGTAATACGTACACGCCAAATTAGGAATCAAGCAGGTTGATCATCTTGTTTGTTGACAACCGTGGTTGTCGTGACTTGGGCATCATGAGTAGTTTGCATCTAAAGACAGCATCGCTGTTGAAGCACTCATGGACTTGGCACGACGATTCTGAGCTGGGAGCGGCTCAAGGGAATGGGCAGGTGATCATCTGTATCGAAAAGGTGAGCCAAGACTGGCAGAATCACGTAGACCGGAGCGTCTGATGAACCAAGATGATGCATTTATTCGTGTATTTCGTCTTCTAAGCATACCGTGTACCATGTCAAAATCTACATATATCAAGATCAAACCCCAGACGCCAAGATGTCGTGTCCATGAGTGCCAAAGGTCGAGGAAACGGGCGTCATAACTGACTCCGCATCAGGAGCATCATGTGTGTAGAAGGAAAACATGTTCAACCACATCATGCCGCCCGTCAATAGAGATCGTTCGGATCGTACGGGGTAGCATCCGCTGAAACGTGCGACGCGCCCTTGCGCACCATAGCACCAATGATCCACGTCATATCTGAGATATCCATCACCTGGAGTCCAATCTTCACGATCGACATTTCCTCCTTCTCGCCTGCATCCTCCCTATCAGCCCGCTCGCAGAATACGCTCTGCCGCTCCCGGATCTGCTTGAGCGCGTCTTGCTCTACAGCCTTGTACTCTTGGAAATCCTTGGCGTGGCTGGAGCCTTGTTCGATACGTTGGAAGAAGATACCTTCCAGCTTGATCGTTAAGCTGCGCATTGCGGAGCCAGAGGATCTGAACCATGGGTTGGGAAGGGCTGAGGTGATACGGATACGGTCCACAGTCTGGAGTGTCCACTTCTGCTGCTGGTAGATGCTCCGCTCTAGTTCTGTCATGGTCGTGTGCGCGAGGAAATGCTCCTGAATATTGCCAGTGTCGCTAAGGAAATCGCAGAGGATTCGGCTAGAGGTTTTGTTTGGTGTGGTATGCTTCGATGCGACGTCCGAACCCACTAACCGGGACCAGTCCAGACGCTCAAGGTCCGTCTGTGCTTGGTACATGTGATAGGTGACAGTTGTGTCGCGCTCCTCAACAGCTGTTGATGCTAGTCCTAGTTGCTTGAGGACTTTGTGGTTGTACTGTTCCGCAACTTTCAGGTCGTCGGCTACGTCTGCCCACTCTGGCTGCTCGTAGACCTTGGCGTCCCAGAAATAGCTCTTGTCTTCCATGGAGCGAATAGTAGTGTCCCACTTCATCCTAAGGAAGAGGACTGGAGGATGGCAGGCAGATCTACGTTCTGGACATGTGACAAATGGCAGTATCGGGTAGGGTTCGTATGCATAGTATATCTTCTCAGCGGGGGGGGTAATTGGTTTTGATAGCTTATTGGCGACAAAGCTGGATCCGATGAAGATGATCATCACCACGCAGGCTGAGCCCAACCGTAATCCAGGCGGCGGCTTCGGCGAGGTTCTGTTCGAGGGTATTACTCTGTTGCTGTTGACGTCGCCACCATCGGTAGCTATAGCCCTAGGCCGACGATGGAAACGATGAGAGCGATGACGGCGATGATGAGAGCAGCGTAGGCGGTGATGGGATCGGCATAGGCGATGATGGAAGCGGCGTAGGCTTTCAGGCCACTGATGGCGTTGCTGCATGTCAACCATGCAACACCACCCCAGGACTGTGTGGCTTCGGCGGGCATTTTGATGGTGTGATTGGAGAATATCTGGTTGTGTTGGTTGAACAGTAATGTATATGGTTGATGATATGTAGGGAGAGGCTCAGGATTTATACTGAGCGGAAGGAAGTATGCACGGTCAACACACGATAATCATTGTGAATGTGATAGGTCACGCGATAGGAATTGTCCAACACGCACCGATGGTTGCTGCGCAATTGCGTGCCTAGCCATAGCATTCACTCTCCACTTTCACCGGCAATTGTTGCGCTAGCTCTCCTGCATCGCAAACAAAATGTAGCGGTGTGGCCTCTTTGTGGCACCATGCCCATACGCTGCAGGAAGATAGCGCACAGATGCCATCAAGCTTTTCCGCAATGCTGGAAATCTCTGACATGTTCATGGTCAACTGTGCAGGCTGGCCTCGCAGTTCTGCAATCATCAAGCACGAAGCAAGGCCTTTGACCTTGCCTAGCAAGTTCTTTCACGTATCTGTGTTGAGATCTTTCCAGACTTGTCAACAATCAAGCCCCATCAAGCCAATCAATCAAGCCGATGAGCAACCAGCGGCTCTACCAATCAAGCTGCTCTCATAGCAATTGGCAGGCCAATCGAGTCTCCATCCAAAGGCTTGATTGATAGCTTGCAAGCGCTTGGTAGGGCACGTGCAGGACGCTGAGAAGAGGCTTGAAGGGGTGTGAAGGGGGTAGCCACATGACGTATCACGTGAAGCTTATCGATAACGATGGTATGGACATGATGTCATCGGCAAGGGGTTCCATGCTGGCCCATATTTTATCAAGCCTATCAAGCGCTTGCAATCAAGCTGAAGGTATGTAAGCATCAAGCTGATTTAATTAAGCTTCGTTACGCCAGATGTCAAAGCTAAGCGTGGAGGCTTGATTGGCTTGATTGTTGACAAGTCTGGATCCTTCCATCTTCTTCCATGGACTGGGCGTTGGCTATCTGCACCCCTATCCAGGATGAGTGGACTTATCCGCGGCGGAGAGGGTTGTGGATTGGACACTGTCAGAACAGCAACGTCGTACAAACGTCAGGGCTGCCTAAGCCAACTGCTTTCAAGGGTTGCAACATAGCTCTCCATTCTTGCATAGTGGTTCGATTGACTTCCCTGTCCGTGGTACACTGAGAACAAGGCAATGCCTCCACCGAAAGATGACCGAACAGAGACGACCGAAAGTGAGATGGCACTCAGGAGCTGGGATGCTGTTTGTGCACGAGGCGGCGTGCCGTCTGCTGCCTGTTCCGGTGTCAAAGATATTGCTACAGGGGTCCGCACAGAGACGCAACAATGAAGCAAACAAAGACAGCTAAACAAAGACGATCTAAAGTAAGATAGCACTAAGAAGCTAAGATGCTGTTTATGCACGAGGCGGCGTGCCGTCTGCTGCCTGTTCCGGTGTCAAAGAAATTGCTGCAGGGGTCCGCACAGAGACGCAACAATGAAGCAAACAAAGACGGGCCATTTCGCGCGTCTGGATTGACAGCTCATAATCCTTCCCAACGTTGGGTCGCGGCCTCACCGTTATACTCATTCTATCCCACACTCGCGTCTTCCAATGTCCTTTCTGCAGGACAACATGGAGCCGGAACTCGACCCGGCGGAGCCCCCGTCTGCTCCTTGGAGGGCCATTGGCGATGGACTCGCGAACGAGAACAGACAATGGGTGCATCAAGTGAACGCCATTGACGCCCAGAGCAACCCAGCGGGTGTTGTTGCATATACGCCAACCGAGTCTTTTCAACATCGCTACGCACGCAGGCTCGTCTCCAGGGCGTACCCGACTAGGAGGAGGACGCGGAGTTTGCCCTTGCCACACAGGTCTCTACAGCCTGGCCAGCGAGATGTTCCGACCGCTCGCGACGTGCAAAACGATCAACCACGACTTGAATGGCTCCAGCGTGTTAAGAACAGTGGAGTCCAAAAGCTTCGTCAGGCGAAAGATACCACGATTGACAAGCTTCGTTGGATCGGCGACCGCATAGTACCCCTAGTCAACAGCCTTCGTCGCCGCAACGGTCGGAACACTTTCATCGGCATGGGCCTGGGGCTACTCATCGCGCTCGCTTACGCCAACAGCAGAGCCGCCCATCACAAGGCCCTACAGGCAACTCCCGCCTCGCTGTACATCAGCAGCTTCAAAAGCTATCCTACCTGGCTACACACAGATCCGCTTCAGGTGATTGGACTCCCAGCACAAGTTGATCCGGCATTCATTCCATCTCGCCGTACGATTCAGAAGGCTTGCGGGAAATACAAGAGCACGTGGCACACAGATAAGAAAAACCGCATCAGCCAGCGAGATGCTTTGGCAATTGTTCATCGGGGAGATTTAGCATGTGACTTGTTGATGCTGTACCATGACAATCAGTATTGCGAAAAGACCCTCGACTCCTTGACCAAGTTCGACGTCGTTGGAGGATACAATGACAGTCTTATCCTGCTACCTTTTCCCAGCGGCTTCTCCTCTGCCCCCGCCGGCGCTCCGCACTTTGCCAAACACTGTGCGTGCACGCTCGCCAAGTATCTCCGCGCGTGGTCGTACCAGGTGCTGATGCCTGTTGATCTTCAGCCTGACCCGCCAAAAACACTGGAAGAGACGTGCCCGTGCACCCTCGACATGGCCACGAAGAGCTGGAAATCCTTTTCATTCGACGCCAAGTCGCCACAGCCACCCTATCTGGGCCGCATCAAGAAGGACCTGTCCGTGTTCACCACTGACTGGCGCGTCTTGTGGTGGAGGGCAAAGGGCCTCATATTCTACGACGATCGCAGCTTTGTATCGACGAAAATGGCTATGGCCTGTGCGCAAGGCACGCAAGAGGGATGTGAGAGGATGGAAGGCTGGACTTCGGCCAGCGATTTCCATTTCGCACTGAAGCAATGTCGTCGGACCGTCAGATTTGAAGAAGGCAAAGACATCAAGATTGAACCGGAAGACGATGATATCATTGACGAGGCGGAATGGATTCAGGCCATAGAGGATGAGGAGAAGGAACAGAAGCAGGCCAGATATGATGAGGAAGAGGAGGAGTTTTTGCGTGCGTGGGCATCTAATCAGACCAGTAAGAAGTGGTATGAGGAGTAGATTTTGATCCAAGTCATCAAGGAGCAGGGAATCAGTTTCAATCACGGTCAACCAGGCGGTGTTGTAGAGTTGCGTTGTGATGGTGGATTAGCGTCCATGGTGCTGGGGTCTGATTCTCTCCCATATCGTCCATCTCCTTTCTTCACGCATATGTAATGAATGTCATGTATTTTTTTTGGCCTCGTGTATCTAACTTGGAGATTGTTTGAGTATACACAGAACATAGTGGTGCTACCGATCTTTATCAGCTGGCGGATTCTTTGCTATCCCAAGAATATTTTGGTCTTCCGTGAGTAGTGTCGAAGTCAGAGTCTTCAACCGCGTCCCCTTCCAAGAAGAACTCTCGTCCAACCTTTTTTCGATTTTCGCCTTCAACTTAATAGCCAACTCTGCGTTCTTCAGCAACTTAGCGGGATTTTTGTGATGCTCGGGATGCTCGGGATGATTACTATTACCCGAATGATCAGCATCTTCCTGGCTTAGGAGGTGCGAACGAAACCTGGTCCAATTTTTTTTTTTGGGTGTTATCGTCGGTGTCAAGCCATTCCTGGGCCCAATTGCCTTTGAGCGCGCGTAGTGATTCGTTTGGACACAGGCTGTGTATGACGATCAAGAAGTCTGTACAATTCATAGCGAACTCTCCCGGGTATGTTGTCCTCATGTTTCCATGAGTTTGGGCTACAACGGCGAAAGCGAGGGCAGTTGATACGATGACCCTGGCGAACGCAAGCACATCTGCCCATTGCACTTGAGACTGGTCCAGAGTCGCGTTTTCTTCTGGCGTGCCCGGGGCCCGGTTTTGGTCGCTCGACCCACCAATCGGAGTTGCAGTAGGTTCCGATGGCAGGATTTCTGCATGGTCCTGACAATAGAGTTTTAGCTTCAGCTCGTACGTTGATTTGCTGCGCGCGTACCTCGTTCGTCTTATGGATGTTCTTTTGTAGCTCCTTGTTGGTCTCCACCTCGTTGTGTAGTTTCTTTTCCTCTGCAAACTGATCTTTCCAACGAACAACTTCACCCTCCAGCCGGGCCTTCTCCCCCTTCAGTGCCTCGTTCCCTGTGCTCAGCTGGGTCTTATCCTTCTCCAGCTGGGTATTCTCCTCCTTCAGTGCCACGTCATCTTTGCTCAGCTGGTTCTTCTCCTTCTCCAGCTGGGTCTTATCCTTCTCCAGCTGGGTCTTATCCCTTCTCCAGCTGGGTCTTATCCTTCTCCAGCTGGGCATTCTCCTCCTTCAGTGCCTTGTCATCTTTGCTCAGCTGGTTCTTCTCTCTCTCCAGCTGGTTCTTCTCTCTCTCCAGCCGGGCATTCTCCCCCTTCAGCCGGGCATTCTCCCCTTCCAGTACCTCGTTCTTCGTGCCCAGCTGGGCATTCTTCCCCTTCAAATTTTCAATCTCTCTTTCAAGCACCTTAACATTGCTTAACAACTTGCTATTGTCCGCCTGCAACTCCATATCCACCGGCTCCGCCGTACCGTCGTCTCTGCGTTCGGCCTGCTTTTGCCTGGATGTCTTGTCCCTGATCCGCTCCACTTCGCGCTTACTGAACTTCCCATAGGCATCTTGCAGGCGCTTGATGATAAGTATATGGCTCTTGCTGGTTTCTTTGTAGGTCTGTATAATCAGATCTCTTGATAGGTCTTCCTTAATCACCGCTGCGTCCATCTTCTGCACCGTCGTATTAGCGTTGTCGGATATGTTGCTGATCTCAGCTACGATCTGTTCTATGTCGATCGATTGGTTGTCCGACATCTTGCTCGCGCACAGGAAGATTTTCACCAAGTTTATGCGAATATGAAGTGATGAGGGAATTCGCGAAGCTGATTATGCAGTGTGCCGTTTGTGTCACGAGGCGGAGTTTTAAGCGGGCCGACGCCGAACAGGCACACCGACTAATACTGTGAGAGGAAGGGAAATGCAAACGCAACACGAGTGGTTGGAACAGAGATCAAGTGCTGTGTTATAGGCCATGTACGTATCGAGCTATAGCAGTGTCTTATTGCCGTTGCTGCGGGAAAGGCATGGCCAGCTTCGTATAATCGTGGAACCATGCCAGAGATCAGCACCTCAGCATACAAGGACGCATTCAAACAATGCGCTGCTAGATAGATACCGCATAGTGGTATTCATGCTGTGGAGTGCTTCTTTCCCCTGATTTACAAGACCGGCTTCCTCATGCACGGGGGTTGTTGGTGGCCAGAAGGCGGGATGCCCTCCGTTTGCAACCACCTCCAACATTGAGGCTACCTGATCCGAGATTCGTTTGGCAATTCCGGGCAGCCCGATATGCGCAATGCAACCCTCGCAACTCACTTCCAGCAATCTACCGTCGAGCAGCTTTACTTGCTCTACGCCCTGTATGTAATCAATTTGCCACAGCTACCTGATGGCGCCTGGGTTCTGCGAGCCGCCTGGAAATTTCGGGCTGCCCGAAATGTGCGATGCGACGCCATGTCTCAAGCCACACGCTCTTGGCAACTCACTTTTGGTACCAGCACCTCGCCGTCGATTAGTTCTATAACCCCGCTGCCTCTCGCTTTTTCCTTGGACTTTGTAATTCTTTCTACAAGACTTCACCGTCTCTCTACTTACCAGACGCACGCAACACGCCGCCATGTCGTACAACTTTTGGGCCTGGGCCCTGGGGACCTTAGACCTTGATGAAGAAGAGAAGGAGCAGTCAAGATTCGTAGGCGCGCAACACCTTTTGTCCGAAGCCTGCTAATTCACGAACAGGAAGCTGAGAAACATACGGCAAGCCTAACAGCGGTGAGGATGGGACATGCGACGACGGAGGAAGAGGCGAACAGTGTGACCGTGGCGCAGACGACGAACAGGGTGAGGGCAAACACAGTCGACTATGATGAGGAAGAGAAGGAACAGGCCATGAAGGTGAGTGTGGCGGTTGGACTGAAAATCGGAAGCTTGCTGATCTGATGAAGAGAGCGACAAGCTCCATCGGTAAAGGCCAGGACGACAACGAGGCAGACTACGGCTCCCAGAAAAAGACTGATATCTCCGAATTCTGTAGTCGCCCCTTGCCAGCCAGCACATCCACAACGACAGTCTCAATCACCATCTACGAGACGTTGACGGCAGCAACAACAATCTTCGTCACCAACACTGTTGCAACGACCACCACCACCACCACCACCGTCACCGCTGCCGCGTCGCCGATCCTCAAGATGACACCCCCGGGCTTGCTTCAGACCGTCACCACCGTGCCAACGATCCCCAAGAGTCCGCTCGATCCAAATCTGTTCGTGGCCAAGGGGCCAACAACTTCGGCTGCCAGGGCCGACGACGCGGTCGGAATCCATATCTCTCGCGGGGCAGTCGCTGCGACTCTCTTCTTCATGTGCGTCTGGGTTGTTGTGTCGGGCGGGACCTGGATCCGAGGGTAAGTTGCGCTGCGTTTAGTGCAAATATCAAGCCATGTTGACCAAGACGCAGGACGCACTTCCATCGTGCCATGTTGCTGGTAGTCCCGGCCCTGTTCCCACCCATCTTCGTCGGGTGCTTCATGCAGGAGATCATCGCCATGAACCATCTCCTCCTTCCCGAGCCGTTTGTTCGTGCCCTTCTCTTCATGCTGGGGGTATGCGCTTGCCTGTTGTTTTTGGAAGCATTTGGTGTCTTTGCCTTCAACAGACAGGTATGGGACGCGTTCATAGCGTGGAGGTCTGGCAAAGGCTGGGACTTCAGCTGGGGGTGGACGAGGGATCACGACGCGCGTGGCGAACGCCGCAACAATATGGCGTGTATCGATTACACGGAGCGTACAGAGCGCCGACGTGGGAGTAGGGACGGGCGCTACGTGCCGGCGCCGTGGTGAGAGAGGGGCGCCATGTCGGCGCCGTGGTCAGGGACGGAGACACTGGCAGTCGAAGGGCAGACCAGACGACGACAGTCATGGCATGGTCGCACTCGGATAGCATAGGCGCCTTGTAATGGCGTATTGTGATAGTGTTGGCGCTTATTTATAGGCGTATGTACTCAGCTCTGTTTTCGTAATCTGCATCCCAATAGGTTCTATGCCATGACCATCCGCTCGAGGTATCGCGAAAGCGTGGAATGGCGAGGCCAAGGGATTCAGCCTGTGACTGCGCAAATCTCCAGCCAAGGTCGCCATGTTTACATTGACTGACTCTGGGACGACCAAGCGATATAAAAGGCGTGTCAGAGATGCGTATGAGTGTTTATATGCTGGCGAAAGTATTGGGGATTTCAGTGAGGGCGCAGAATCCTAGCCTCTCGCATTTATACGCAGGTAGCGAAACGTGCCTGCCTCGCCATCTGCAGACGGGTGAAGAGGAAAGAAGATCAGCAAATATCAATACCAATCACATACATCTTTTATAGGAACAAGCTTCTCACTTATACAGGTGGTGATAGCTGATGCTATAGCTATACTAGGCAGTTAGGATTACACTGCGTGTCTAAGTGACTGCTGCGCAAGGCTTCACAATAGACGACGTATAACAATAGCTATAGTGACAGCCTAAATGCATACATCTATTATAAGGACAAGCTTTCAAATGGTTTAACATATAGCTAACCAGTGATCTGCGTGACCGCAAGATATCTGATCCCATTTTTGGCTGATTTATGTCAATCGTGTGGATGAGCGTCTCTATCCGGTGATCAAGCTGCAGGATACCGCAGCTCCTGTTCCTTAGAACTTCGTCCCACACTAACAGCGCTCCTAAGTCTCGCCGATTCACGAAAGCGAAATAGCTAGACATCTTTGTCATTGATATTGACAGGGTGTGAGGACGAAACAACTGAATCCACACGTGGATACCAGCTTATCTGTTTGTCGCGGTCGCCTCACTCTGCAACCTCAAATCTACCATTCTCACTCTTCCACCGCGGCTTACAGGGACCGAGTGCTCGCTCCTGTTCTCGCAGGGTAAAACTGCCTCTACACCAGCTTCTTCCTCTCGGCTTCTTGTTAGAGATATGCTAATCACGTGAGTTGGTTTCACATGATGACTAAGCCTTAAGCGAGGTTTGGTACTGTTTGCTACAAATCGCCACTTGTATCGTACATAGATGCTTCTCGCTTCAACAATTTCTCTCATCAACAATTCCTCTTATCTCGTACTTGAGCTCTAGCACGACCAGTAATCGATCATTCATCACCTCAACTGCCTGAGTCAACCACACCCACTCCCGACCTCAACACCAACAAGAACCATGTCAGCGAATAAGACGCCACTTGGAGGCGAGCTTCGTCGCCCTGCACCCGCAGGAGCCTCCTTAGAGACGCCGCGCAACAGGCGATGTATGTTCTCATCGTCATCCTCATTCTTTCCACATAGATGCATGACTGCGTTACTGATACGAACCAATCAAGCAGGGGCTAGCCGAAAGAAAACTCCAGCGCGAAGGGGAGGAGAGGAAGTGGCTGATGCCGATGCAAATGCAGGTGCTGTGCGGGAGGAGGTGGCAGATGCGCTTCGGGACCCAGGACACGCTCAGGGCGGACAGGCCGCTCAAGCTGGGCAACATGGCGCTGCGAATATTCTCGGTGGAGAAGGGAGGGAAGGCCTGCCGCCGCCGCCGAACAACCGCGATCGTCGACAGGACTGTATCAATGCGCTCCGGGCGTTGATGGTCCTGATCTGGAGGTTGATCACGTTCGCGATGATACATGTTGCTGCTTGGATGACCTTGCTGAAGCGACGCCGACCCAAGCTCTTCTGGTCCCTTCTGTTCGCTCTCCTGCTACTACTGCTCGCTGGTTTCATCTCCATGCGCAGCGCACCACGTCCTCTGCGCTTGCATCGCAACATGGATCCAGACTACGTGAACTCAGCGTCTATGTCCCAAGAGCAGGAGGCGGAGCAACTTGTGCAAGTAAAGGAATGGACGCGAAGGATGCGCGAGATGCGTGGAAAGGGGGCCGATTGGGAAGACGTGGATTGGGAACACGCAGACATCACGTGGGGTGATGAAATGGATTAGGCTGCTGAGATCAGAGTCGGAATCATAGTCGATATGGAATGTGGCTCTGATGGCGGCTTCTGTGGTGGTTTCTGTAGGGTGGATTCGGCTGTGATGTGCTTGGTGTTGCTCTTCAACATCTCTCACGCGAGAATGATATAGTGATGCTCTTCTGCAATTTTCTTATCCTATAGCTACACTTCGGCAGCTATGAATGACATTCTTATCAGTCAGCAAGCGCTTAGGTACTGCCCAGTCTGCTGCACTAACTCATGTTCGTGGCTAGATAAGTCGCATCTGAGCTAGAGCGAGGTGATGCTAGGTGATGCGAGCAAAGGGTCTTTACATACGAAATAACAGTGTGAGAGTGAGGTTAATGAGCGTGTGTATGCACAATATCTCAGTTTACAGGTGAGCGAGACGAAGTTGAAGGTGAGTGTAGAATCGACGGACTATAGAGGCACAGTAGGAGCTTCTCACCGCGACCCTGATTAGGACTGTGGTGCTGGTGTTCGTCACGAGCGTGGTCCGTATACCGCCATTTTCTTGGTGTTGACGTCGGGGTGCAGCTCGATGCTGGATTCCCAGTGCCGAAGAGGAATAGGATATGTGAGGTGTTATTGAGCGTCGGAGTCGCGAGGAGCGTGCTCGATGGGGCTGTGCGCACACCGAACATGGAGCAGCGCTCGAGGAAAAGAACGTCTTGGTCTGCTACGCGCTAGGTGTGGCCATCTGAGGTTGAGAGGAAGGCTCTGTAAGTGAGGACCGCCGAGCCTAATTTGATGGACAGTGCTGCCGGTCATCGGCAAGACAGGCGCGGAGCATTTTGGGTCGCTAGGCCTCCAGCAAGCGCGGTCTTTAGGCTATAGGTGTTGCAATGTGTGCAGGCGTCTTTGGATAGTTGTCAAGTGCTGCTGGAGAGTCCTTGATCGAGATGGGGCAGTAATGTGCGCCGGAGTGTTGGGCTAGCTGGGAAGCTGTGCAATAGCGTATTGTGGAGTCATACATGGGTTAACGCCAGTACCAGTGCTATCAAAAAGTAGATGGATGTTCTGTTGTAGTACGACCGCGTCCACATCGAGCGTCCACGAAACAGCATATGACGAGCCATCCGACGATCCAACACACCTCTCCTTGACATTCTTTAGGCGCGCGAGTCTTTGGATATCGCGTGTTCCTTGGCGTCGACGCCGCTGGCTTGGAGCGTCGAGTAGAGCAGCGATTTGATTCAGCAAGGACGTAGAGTTTGGCTTTGTGGAGGCGGGGCAAAGAGGATGCGCCGCATAATAGGGAAGAGGAGAGCTACCGCAAGGAACGCTGGGTGATGTCTGATGCGGAAGGCGAAGGCAAGAATATTTGTCACCAGCCTTGATGAGTGGCGTAGTTGCTTCTTTGGCCTTTGTCCAATAATAGTAGCTAGTTGAGCAGCATTGTTTTCGAGACTGGTTCTTTGACATTGACGATAGGCGAGTCTGCTAGCGGAGTGACTTTAGAGCTTGCATCTCGTGGTTCTCGCGATTGCACCTTTCAGCCTTTCGTGTCAAGTCGTTCAGTAAGTCCGAGTCAGAACGGGTCCCGCTGATGCAGTCTTGGAAGGAGACTGCAAGCATGTTAGTGTCATAGCAGGTCTCAGGGAATTGTCACCTTTTGAGCATGCTGGCGCAGTGGGTGCAGACCTGCGCCCTGACAACCTGGACATGCTCAACAGGGTCGTGGAAGAGCATAATACCTCAGCATACTTGGTTAGTTGATCCTTTGCCCGCTGTAAGCCTCGCTGCGTCTCTAGCTGCGATTTCTGCCGCCTCTAGCTCTGCATGGAATGCATAAAGTACGCGAGTAAGTTGTTCGTGCATAGTGTCGTCGACAGCGCTGATTTTGCGCTGCAATGGCATGATGAATACAGCGATCGCGCTGATATCGGGGCTTGGGGTTGGGCAAGACATGGGCGGACGGCAATGTGCAGTCGTCGAGTGAAGCACCAATGTAGGGTCATGGAACGAAGGCTTAAGTCGTGAAGGATTGATCTGATCTGAACGTAGTAGGGGTGAAAATGAGTGTGTAGGCGATACTCAGGTAGTAGAGAGCGGAGATCCCTCAAGTTTGTCTTGTTCATTCTGCGATTGTGACTGCATGCTGGTGATGGCCGTGTAGCTGGCGGCACTTTTGCAGGCGCAGATGTTTTGACCTTGCGCTTCTTGCGCGCATCCTACGCTTCTTCTCCCTTTGCACTATGTGGACGCGCTCTGAACCCGGTCAAGATGCGGACCAAATCTGCACTTCAAACGCACCGAGCGCCGTCTTTGACTCCGGGTCGCGATCCGGAGGGTTGTTGTCCAAGGCTTGGCACAGCTCCGCAATGCCGAGCATCTGAAGGCAAGTGATGAGAGGATCGAGCGAGGTGGAAAGAGAATTTGGTAGGGATGATGACGCCTTGCTTGTTGTGCGTGGCCAGAAGCCGGGACGCAGTACTTGCTGACCTTTTTGAAGCCAACAACCAAGCATGGTGCGTCGTCCCTGGTAATTGGGGTAGAACTAGGCGGTCCATTGCGAGGATGAATACAACTACCCGAAGGTCGCCATAGCACAGCTCTCTGTGACAGTGGCGACGAGAGGTTCAAAAGCTGAATGAAAGTCGTGGCACACCGTCATCTCGCATCGCGTCGTTGAAGCGCGCTGCGGTGAAGCTAAAGATATTAGCGCCAACACGAACGCACGTGACGCGCCAGCGAGCATCAATATTATGGAGGTATCTGAGACCAACCTAACTGTTACTAGCCGAACAAATGATGAATCGGTGGAAAGACCTTGACGTATACTTGCAAAGACCTGTCCCTAACTAAAGTGCTTTTCAAAGGCGAGAAATCATGCGCTTCAACTTCCTGTCGGTACGAGGGATTGCTAGCGTCCAGGGTCTAGTCCACGTCGGCTACACAGCACAAAATCGCCCATCTCAAACGAGTAAGACTACTCCAGACTGTCTGTTGCCTGCGCTCGTCTTGTAGAAAACGTCTGCTTTCCAGCAGGAAAACCAACGTAAGAACACCTAGGTAGAATGGTAGAAACTCGAATACCAGTGTTCCAACTCTCAGATCCAGGCTCGGATGTCGTTGGTAGAAAAATGTATACGTCTATTTGGATGGACCAGCCGTCTACTGTGTTCCTCACGACGTTCTGATCACCGAGTGTCCGAGCACGGCCTCTGAGCGCCTCAAGCCATGTCGTCGCGTAGGGTGCGATCAGTACATTACGTCGAAATGAGGAGACGCAGATGCTTGCGGAATAGATTGAGGTGGCTGCGATGAAATCGAGCAGGCTCCAAAGAGACACCTCAAACGCTCGTCCAAAGTTTTCTGACTTCCTAAAGCGCAATAGGGTATTGCATATCCTAGCCACTGAGACGCTTTCCAATAACACTACGGCGCGTCACAAAGGAACGAGAGAAGGACAGCACGGTCAATTTCTTCGGAACAATCGGTCTTGAAACTGTATGGGGTATCAAAATTGCAAATACAGTACATGATGCATGTCGTGAGAGAAAACCAATCAAGGTCGAACATGACACGCCGCCCACCGCACTCCGTGGAAAAGTCATGTCCAGGTCTAACCCACGTCACGAAGGAACGAGAGAAGGACTGGCGCCCTCGAATGATCCACCATCTCCCTTCAGCCCAGCCAACTCCGCTTCCATGCCTCGGCACACATCTTGCTCCTGGGACATCTTGGCACGCCGAGCCACAAGGTCACTCTCCAACTCTTTGACGCGTTTGCGCTGTTTCTCGTCTACCATCTCGGCAAACTCCGCAACCAGTCCCTGCAATCGCTGCAGATTCGTCACGTTGTCCTTGAGGGTAGCTAGCCTCTGCTGCACGGGCTTGAGCTGCTGGCGCCAGTACGTCTCGAGCGCGGCGTCCTCCTCCTCGAGGGCTTGCACGTTCTTGATATGCTTGCGCAGGTAATTGCTTTGGCGTCGGCGCGAAGATTGCTCCGCTTCGATGACTCTAGCCAGTCGCAGTGCACAATCACTCTGTTCCTGTTGACGCGTCTCGGCGGCAGCATAGGCGGATTGCGTCAAGTCTCGGATGGTGTGGAATTCTCGCCGCAGTGGGACAATGCTTTGGGATTCTGAGAGGAACTTGGCAAAGTGGATGAGAGCTTGGACTCGGCCGCCGTCGCTCTCCAAAGCCTGGAGCAGCATCCGCCAAAGGGCCATGTTTCCCGTGGGGTTGCCGTTGTATCCATTGGTGATGCGCAAAGTCGTGATAACTACTGAAATGCCGCAATCAAAGTCGTTCCCCTGCTCAGGGACAGCCACATGGACGATTGGGGTCCAATGCGGGAGGTCATCGTCTGCGCGGCCCGCAGCATCCCAGATGGCAGTACGAATGAGCGCGACTTTTTCTCCAACCACAAAAGGTGCAATGTGGCCAGGCAATGAGTCGTACTTGTACACCTTCATGTACTGCATGTTGAACTGAAGAAGAATCCAGTGTCGACAGAGACATAGCGGGACGAGGACGTTCCTGGTCTTGCTGAACTTGCCAGGAGATACCTTTGCGGGGAGCTCGGACACCTCCAGGTCCCCTGGGTCGTAGAATGCATAATCGTCTGGATGTAGGCCAGATGTGAGCTGGGTCAGCAGAAAATCGAGGGTGCGAGAGGTTAGCTGAGCTTTGGGTTCGAGGTCGCTGGAGCCCCGGGAGATGGCGCCATGTATGCGAGGTCGCTTGCGTTGCGCGTTACCATCGGTGTCGCTGGTTTCTGTTGCCTTGTTGTCCCGCTTGTTCGTGTCGACACCCGGTCCGCCCACTGAAGGGCTAATCTCTGACAGCGGAGGCGAAGGGAGAGATTTTGTCTCTGGCAGTGGTGGCGGTCGGTTGATCTCAGTTTCCGTGGCCGTCGAAACAGGCACTTGCGGCGGCTTGCCCGATGGTACGTGCGCCGGGTTCATGACGGCAGTCTGCGCGCCGGACGCTTGTGACGGCGAGACGACGCTATCCAGCCCCGCAACGGACACTTGCTGGGGTTCGATTTTGGACGGATGCGGTAACTCGGCCGCCTCGGCAGTCAAAAGGATGTTGTCGTCGGCGGCGGAACTTTCCTCCATCAGACATTCGTCTGTGGGTATGTCAAGGTCGGGGGAGGCTCGCTTGCTGGTCTCGGAGCATGGAGAAGGTGGGAAATCCTCTCCTTCGCTTTCGCCGGCGTCGCTAGCGTCCAATTCGGACAGGGAAGGCAGAGGGCCGTGGCGGGGCAGCTCTGGGGATGCAATACTGGTACGGGCAGAGGATGGCTGCCGAGTGCGGGGTCCCTTGCGGGTGCGATCGCGGCGGGAAGGCTCGCGATAAGGGTGCTCAAGCAACTTGGTCTTGGACGTGGTTTCGGCGATGTATTCTTCCAGGTCTCCCAGCGATACTGTGTAAGTGCCCGCTTGGAGGCTCTTCTCTAGAGAGATGTTGTTCTGATGATTGGCGATGCGGTGCTTGAGGAATTTGGGAAAGTCGCGCTCGACATCAGCGAGATTCATCTTGATGCGCGCGAGCTTGGCTGCTTTCTCGAGGAAAGATTGCTTGGGCGAGACGGGAAAAGGCGCGACACGCAACAGTCGGCAGTAGCAGTCTGGGCCCCATGCATGTTGGATACACAGGATCGCACGCAGCGAGCGGAAAGCTGCCGGGACATCGCGCACCTTGATGCTGGAGACGTCCTGCGCTGCTGTTGGCGCGCACCGCTCGGCTGTAAAGGTCTCCCATGTCTGGAGGAAGTGCTGGTGAGTGCCCCATAGCGCGACAGCCTGCCAGAATTGGCTGCAGAGGGGCTCTTCTCCGTGGTCCACGAGCATCTGCCAGCCTATGAAGACGAGATCTGTGGCGACGTGGGGGTTGTCGCGACGGTACGTGCGGTTCGCCTTGATCGATGCAGTCGTCCAGAGACGCTCGTGTGCTGTCTGGAATGCAGCCTTGACTTGGTTGCTTTGCCCGTTGCGCGCAACCTGTGCAAAGGCCTCGATATGGTGCGTGAAATTGTCCGCGATGCTTTCGTCGGGATGTGCGGCCTCGGACGGCGAGGGGCCTGGCTCGTGTGGTGGCATGTTCTCGTCGTCTTGTCGTCACGCCGGGTATGCTGGCTGTTGTGTTCGCGATTGGACGGGTGCGAGTCAGGCATTGCCCGCCTGTATCGGCAGCCTACGACCGCACGCAGGTGCAACTTGGAGCAGGCGCTCGAGGACGAGACGCGGTGTTGACCACGCAAAAGAAACTCGTGATGCAGACAGCCTGCGTGTCTGGTGGTTGACGACGCCAAGGTTTCGTCGTGGATATGGAGAGCTCCGATCACCGACAAACATCCCACCTTCCGCACGCGCTCAGCCATCCAAAACGCCCGAACTTGATCAGCTTTGTATGCGCAATCTGCTGAGAACCGCATGGCGCATGCATTGTAACAGGCGCAGTCTGAATAGAAGCTCCTTGTGTCGTGGGGAAGCGGGCCTGGGTTGATCTGGCGGAATCGCCGACCTCCGATCGAATACGAAGTACCATTGTCAACGCCAAGACCCACCTAGCCATGACCCCAAATCTCACTCTGTTGCGCCACTTGCCATCATTGCGCTCCCTGTCCCTCTGTTCTACGTCTACAACCGCCAGCGCTCCTAGATGCACTCTCGTACAGTCACGGGCGCTGCTCCCGCGCCCGCGCCTGAGAATTCGACCAATTTAGTCAACGCTGCTAGCGCTGATGCCACGGGCCTGAGCGCCTCCAGAAAAGATGGCAGAGACAAGGCCGACGTGAAGTCGGAGAAGGAGTTGGACAAGGAGCGCAAGAAGGCAGACAAGAACGCCAAATTCCAAGCGAAAAAGAAGGCGCAGCCCGGGCCCCCGGGCTCGGCGGGCAACAAAAAAGACAAAAACGACAAAAAGGACAAGAAGGACCAGAAGGACAAGGATGAGGGCGTCCTTCCTGCCTACGTCGAGGAGACGGCCAAGGGCGACAAGAAGATGCTGAAGAGCTTGGATGACCCGTACCACAAGGCATACATGCGCGCCGTTGTCGAAAGCGCATGGTACGACTGGTGGGAGAAGGAGGGCTTCTTCAAGCCCGAGTTTACCCAAGACGGAGAGCCCAAAGCAAAGGGCACTTTTGTGATTCCCATACCGCCGCCCAACGTGACGGGGAAGCTACATTGCGGCCACGCTCTCGCCACGTCCCTGCAGGATCTCCTGGTCCGATGGCACCGAACGCAGGGCTACACGACCCTCTACCTCCCCGGCTGCGATCACGCCGCCATTCCCACACAAGCTGTCGTTGAGAAGAATGCTTTGGCGCCAAGAGAAGAAGACGCGACATGATCTTGGCCGTCCCAAGTTTCTCGAGACAACCCTGGCCTGGGTGGACGAATACAAGGGCAACATCACTGCCGTGCTCAAGCGGCTGGGCGGAAGCTTCGACTGGACTCGCAAAGCCTTTACCATGATGAACTTCTCAACAGCCGTCATCAAGGTCTTTGTATGCATGAGGCAGTCTTATCTATAGGGACAATCGCATCGTGAACTGGAGCACTAGCTCAGCACTGCCTTGTCGACGCTCGAGGTCGATCACAAGGAGTTGACTGGTCACTTCTTTCCTGAACCGCAGCTTCTCCTCCTCGCGCTTTGCAGCTTCGTCCTGTGCGAACTTTTGGCGCGCGACTTTGCGCTTGTGGAAGTCGGTGACGTATTCTTCGCGGGCGCTGAAGTCGCATTCGATTTTCTCGGGGACGGTGCCGGCGATTTTGCGCTTCTTCTTGGGTGGCCCCATGATTGGAGATTGTGCGGTTGGTTCAACTTTTGTGCTAGTGAGAGGGTTGCACTACTCGACGTCCCTGGCTACGACCGCAAGATTGAGTTTGGCGTCCTCACCCAAGAACTAACAGATCTGGGACTCTGTCAAGAAGGAGGACAACTCCATGTTCACGCAGCAAAGACGTCATTGAGCCTATTATGAAACCTTAATGGTACATGACGATGAAGAGCCTAGCTGAGCCTGCGATCAGGGCAGTCCAAAAAGGAGACATCAAGATCATCCCTGCCTCTTCCGAAAAGGTCTACTACCACTGGATGAAGAACATGAATGATTGGTGTCTCTCTCGTCAACTGTGGTTCGGCCACCAATGCCCGGCCTATTCTTTCCGCGTCGGAGACGAGGCGATCGATCGTGCGGATAGCAGTAGGTGGGTAGCAGGGCGTACGGATGGCGAGGCTCGCTGTAAAGCCGAGGCCAAGTTTCCAGGCAAGCAGGTTGCGCTGGAGAGAGATCCCGACGTTCTCGATCCCTGGTTCAGCGCAGGTCTTTGGCCATTCAGCACACTTGGTTGGCCAAAAGATACGCACGACATGCAGAAGTTGTTCCCTACTTCTGTCTTTGAAACTGGTTGGGGTATCCTCTTCTTTTGGGTCGCTCGCATGATATTCTTCTCCATCTACCTTACGGGTACAGTGCCCTTTAAGGAGGTGTACTGCCACTCGCTTATTCGCGGTTCAGAGGGTAGAAAGATGTCCAAATCGCTTGGCAATGTCGTCGATCCAATCGACATCATGGAGGGTATCTCACTGCAGGCGTTGCACGCAAAGCTGCACGTTGGGAACCTAGATCCTAAAGAGATCAAGACAGCAGAGCGATACCAGAGGACTGCTTTCCCGCAGGGCATACCCGAGTGTGGTGCTGACGCTCTTCGAATGGCCCTGATTGGATATACAACCGGAGGTGGTGATATCTCGTTCGACACGAATGTGATCCACTCTTACCGCCGTTCTGTAATAAGATGTACCAGGCTACCAAACACGCTCTCGGGCGCCTAGGCAACTTTACTCCGCGCTCAGCCATCACCAAGTCCGGCCGCGAGAGCTTGGCTGAATGATGGATACTGCACAAGCTGACGCTGTCCGCAAAGTTGATCAACGAGCGGCTCACTTGGCGTGATTTTTCAACTCAACACAAGTTGCCCACAAACATCTCCTAGAGTATCTGTGCGATACATTCCTTGAGAACTCCAAGGCAATCTTCGATGAGAATGCAGAGGCGCAAAAGGAGTCCGCCAAGCAGACGCTTTATACTGCTATCGAGGGCGTCTACCAATGATACACCTATTCATCCCTTTTAACTGATGAGCTCTGGCAACGCCTTCCACGACGAAAGGGTGACATGACGCCATCCATCACCATTGCCGTTTCTCCGGATTGGAACAGGTTGTTTGACGACCCGGCTGCCGAAGCTGAATACGGACTGCTTGTCGACATATTGCACTCCCCCGACAGCCAACTCAACTCTCTACCTGTCTTCCAGCCTCTTCGCAAGGACGGCCGACGCACAGACGTGTCAGGCCCGCTGGCTCTGGAAGCTCCCCTCCCACCAAGCATAGCCAGACATGGCGCAAATGTAGCAGCGGACCGTTTGAAAAGATTGTACAGCCACCGTTACTAGCATTTCGTGCGCCCGAGGTGGGCCATGCGATCTTCGCCAAGGCAGACAACCCTTTGCAACAATGCCCTCCTGGTCGCTATCCTGCAAGACGTGAGGTGTTTCAATGATAAAGAGCACTCCCGGCACCAACAATCTCGGGCCATACCAAGGTTCGATAGACGACAAGGCGCGGGAACGCTAGGAGCGCAATGTTGGCAATGGACGGTCCGTCGTGAGAAGCGCGTCGAGGAAAGCTCACTGGCGGCGCCGGGGCGGTCCGGACTGCTTCACCAAGTATATCGTCGACTGCTAGATCACCTTCGCCATTGATAGGGGTGGCCGGCCATTGCTGTTCCGCGGTCGAGAAGATCGATCGCATGGGAGAGGCGGATTTTATGTTTGGATACCATGTCATGGAGAGCAGTGAACGCGGAGAACCGATGGGGCGTGATGCCATACTGCAAGCGTCTCTTACGACTCGGCGCGCTGTCCTCCCGCTCGTGTAGTTGGATACACATCCATCCGACTTCCCATTCCACACCCAACATCCATGAACAACACTGTGAGCAGCTTCTCCCGTTCTTGATGGGATGCCTCCGAAAGAAAGCGAAACCCACGCTTGCCTCTGATGTCAGCCTCCACCTGAAGTCTGCAACTCGTGGTTGGACATTCTCGAACGAAGCACTCCAACACAGATAAGCAATACCGACTCTTGGGCAAGTCAATGCAGCTTCCTCAATAGCCTGGTAGCTTTTTTCTATCAGAGTGCGCGACTTCATCTACACATCCATCTCTTCACATCGCAACGTCTCTCCGCATGAGATGTTCTCTCATTGCTGATCCTAGACCGCACTGTTCACAACCGGGTGTGGTGAAAGGGACGATATCCTTCGCCGAGACCGCGGGATGTGCATTGCTTGCATTCAGAGAAAAGGTTGCTGCAGTGAAGAAATTGGCATATAATTTCGGCAGAAGCCATGGCACCATGGTTGTCGCACCCTGACGTGCACGCCTGGTGTGCGAAAAACCCGCGCTACCTGTGCAGTCGATGTGTAATTGCGCATGTTGGAATGTTCGACATCCCTACCGCCATGTCACCGCCGCGAACACCAAGGCAGCACATGGTTGCAGAAAACTTGAATGCGACTGTGCTGGGCCGTATTGAGGCGCTTTCATATACGAGGTGTAATCTCCTCAGACAAGGCCGAACAGTTCCGCCCTTGCAGATAATGCTACATCGGCCTGGTTGAGAGAGCGACCATCTTCCGTCGGCAGGTATACGTAAATGGCCACGCACTCAAGTCCTGGACGGGGACCGTGGGAGCTATCGTCGGCTTTGGGGTTGGCTTGCTCACCGCTGTCGCAGCACCTCCTCCGCAGCGACTGTCAGCGCACGTGCTGTAGCCGATAGCCTGGTATTCGGTGGCGGCCAGCGTGCGGGCGATGGTGTCGACCTCCAGGGAGATGACGGGACTGGGGAGGCAAGACATCGCATGGCCACTAGAGGCATGCACGCGTGCGCAGGACAGCTTCGCAGTGCCGATAGCCAGTGTCTGATCGAAAGAGTCACCACATGGCCGAACCAAAGCAGTGATTCTCATGCGCCGCCAGCGCCTGTAGCAGTCCGCGGGTGCTTTGTAGACTTAGGAAGTTGAAAAGGTCCCTTGCGCGTTCCGTGCGGACTCGTGGTGTTCTGAAGCTACGACAGAAGTCGGTCGAAAGTGGGGGGTCAAGAGCGGATGACTGAAAGCGAAGATGGGAGAGCGGGCAATCGAGAGGGTGGCTCGACGGCGATGGGGCCATTACTATGACGGCATGGACTTGGTTGAGGCAGTTGTAATCGGCGCTTCTTTATCCCAACGCATGGCCGCCGGTCTGGGCAGACGCTGTTAGCCTGGGAGCAGAATCAGGATGGCTAATGATAGTTTCCGGGAGCATACTTGCCTGCATGTTTCGAGGCGCGTGAGTGCGCCAAAGCACTGCGATCTATGCGGCGATCCGAGAGGCAAAGGGCAATGTGCGTGGCGGGTCTGGGACGTGTGACGGTCACATGTCCAAACGAAGCTCGTAGTTGTCCATGGCATTGCTCTTCCACGGCCAAGATTCGACGTGTGCGTCTCCGGCGTCAGTTGTGTAGTGTTATGACCCCTCAAAGGATCCGCGACTGGGTGCGTCGCTCGAGTTGCGCTCCTCACTGTCTGAACGCGTCGCGCGTCTCGTCTTGG